TATATTTTTTGGCACTTCTCCTAAATAGATCAATGAAGAGCAGAAATTTAGCTGAAAGAAGATCGTGAGGAGGTCCTCACGAAGGGCCCTCAGCTGGGGTGATTTACTTGACACATTTCGGAGGCGATCATCAGCGAGCCATTATCTCAAAACATCAACGCCAGTTAGTTCAGAATGAATTGGAAATATTTCAAAAGTTTTCTTACTGTTAACCTGTTCTCTAGGATCTGTTTACGTCTCAGACTGCTGTAATCTGTGTAAATTCTTTCCGCAAACTTGTGCCATTCCCGCCTCTGTAGATCTCTTCGGTCTTCTTGGTCACATCTGCTTTGTTATTTACAGGTGTCTTTTTTTCTTTTGGTTAGTTAGTTCAATTGCTTTGTTCTTTTTTTAATTTGTGGTTTTTGTTCCTATTGGATAAATACCTTAACTATGACATAATCTTTATTTTAATGCTTAGCACACCCTTGACCACAGTCATGTGATTGTGCTTATATATCATTGTGTATAATTAATTTCACTGTATTCTAATAAAGCAGTTGTGTAGAGCAATTGGTCTGTGCGTTACTCTATAGTAGTATATAACGAACCCTAATACACAACAAATGGCAACGAGGATGGGACATTTCATTGAAAAGTGCTGGAGGAGCTTATCTTTATTCTTAACCTTTTAACTCCTAGGAGTGATCAACAAGTAACTTCTCTCTATAACATCCACACAATATCCAGGAAACAAATAATGAGAATACTCAAACTTATCAGGTAGAAGTTGTTGTCTTGATCTATCACCGAATTCTCGTTACTTATTTGCAAGGAAATGTATAGCAGCTAGAAGGGAGAGTTAACAATCAGATCTTAGGAGCTAAAGGGTTAAATGGACCACCCCCTCCCCTCCCCTTCCTTTTAACCCATGCTCACCCCCGTGGGTCCTTCTCTCCCCAGCCATCCACTACTGTAAAGTTAACAGATGGCAGCTATGATTTTCACCAAGGAAGTACTGAGGGTCACTGAGCCCTCGTTTGCCAAACATTATGTCTACCCTGCCGGCTAGGTTGAGTATTTTTCATTTCCTTGAAGTTTCTGTCTCAGTGGGGTTCTGAAACTTCTGATGACATTTGCTGTACCATTTTCAAGGATACGGTAAACCTTTGAGAGTGTCCCACATGAAAAAATAGGTTAAGCGTTATTAATTGAAGCATAATCGCCATAAACAATATATAAGTGGAACACTATATTAATGGAAATACGTTCTCTGGCAAAAATTCATCCCTTTCAGCTTGTGTGACCTTGTGTTGTAGAATTAAGACAACATTCAATCACCTATTTTACTATAGGTTTGAGTATCCCAATCTCATACTATGCATTATATATGCACAAGAAACCTGGCAGTGAGTACATGTACACTGAGTCCAAAATAAGTCATGAATAAACACAAAAGGGGACCCTTCTGAGGCCAAGGAAACTGAGGTTTGCATTCACATCAAACAGGGTACTTGCTTGTAATCCTCTCTTCTAGGATGTACATGTAAGGTAAAAGTTCTTGGTCCACACAAAATGTTTACTCTGGTGATCAGATGGCAGAGGGTACTAATAAAGCTCATAAAGTGAGTCATCAGTAGTAGTAGCGCACTTGGCTCTAGACAGGGCATCTGGTACGACGTTATTTCTTCGAAGGCGATAGATGATGTCAAAACTGCACTAAGAGAGTTCTGGTCTCCAACACAGGAATTTTTTGTCCTTTATTTTTCCTTTGTGACATTTGTCGCACATGTAGGATACAGATTTCTGATCAGATTTAAGGATGAAGTGTCCTCCAGGGAAGTGTCTCCAGTACTTTAGTGCGTCAATTATTGAGTGCACCTCTGTCTCTATGGACGCAGGGTTCGTGAGAAGAATTAAGCAACAGGTCTTCCATTCTGATTGCGTGTGGCTGCCAGTGGTACTTCAAATGCCTCATCAGCTGGCTGTGACAGAAGGAATGATCTACATCTGTCAGATCTGACAGCAGTGCCAAAGTCAAGAATTGGTAAAATTCTCCCAAGCAGCAGGCTTGAGTGAGTTTAGTTATTTCTTTATCTCTATTATTAATAGGGGAGAGGAGGGCAGGATGGGAAGGGGGAAACAAAATGACAAATACCTATATACCCTCTCAAGATTCCAGTGAAAACCATACCCTATTGAAGATGATAATGGTCAAAATTCATATCCGATTCCGAACAAAACTACTCAGAACCCAAACCGTTCGGGCGACCATATATTGATGAGTGCCTGTCTCCTCCCCTGGTGATAGAAATGGAAACAATTAACAAAAACATTTATTTACTGCTAATACAACCCTAATGGTAGCAATACATTGCAATTTAAATTAAGGAAGCAAAAGCAAAAGGGGTATTGGGAATTTTACAATCACCAAATTAAGAAAACACTGACTCTAAAAGTCAAGCTCTGTATTTTATCAAGTCCTTGGCCAAAGGAGTGTCTCAAGTAATGTAGCAAGATTCATAATCAATATTTCAGTTGCAAATTACAATGATGCTGTAAGCTGCAATTAAACCTTTGCATACTTGCTGAAGTCTTTCTCATACATAATTACAGTAATTAAATGGAACTGATGCTAACTCAAACTCAGATATAGTCATAACTTAACTGCTTGGGCTTACTAATTAAGCAAGGCCTGAACTCATCTTGGTACTAAAATGTCACTATCATACAAAAACAACAAGGATAAAGCATGAACTTTATAAAGAGGTCTCAGTTGTGTTAGTGCTATACCTCCTCACCAGTGATTATTCTTAGAAACTTTTCTTCATATAGGTCACTAAGCTGTTTGAAAAACTTCTCGCCAGTTAGATGACGTGGTGGGTACCCCTCTATAGCCCTCTTAATGCGCACAAGATCGTCACTGAATCTCTGACATAACTCTTTAATTTGGACCTTTATCGGTTGCAATCTCTCACGAAGCTTACGCAGTCTATCCACGTTACTCTCAACTAGTCTTTTAACCATCGTGAACTGGTTTTCGCTCAGAATAATATGGATATATAGACGCAATTCATGTAGAAATTTCATTAAAATCGCTTCATCGCTATCACTGTCGCTGATCTGCTCGAACGATTCAGCTGGCAGTTCTTCCAGTTCTTCTCTAAAGATTCTGGCACAGTGAGCCTCAAGTTCTTTACATTCTAGATCCTCGTGTAGTTGTATGAGAAACTTGAGATTCTCGTGCCTGTTTTGCATGATCATTGTTTTATTAAGCCAAAATTTTCTGCACTCGCTATAATCTTTCATGTCTGTACCCATCTGTGGGAAATCGTTTCGGAACTCCTTACTATTGGGACCACCAAACTGTAAGCTGTTTACGTACGGAGCAAAAGCTTTAATTCGCTCATCAAGTTTTTTCACGCTTCTTTGAGCATGTTCAGTCACTGCATTTGATGATCTGTTACTGCCAAAATGTTTCAGACATTTCAAAGCGACCCTTTGTTGTTCACCTGTAAGGAAAGGCTCTGCTAAATTCCCCAACTCTTCCACCACAAGTCTTAATTCTTCCTTTATATTTATTGGCACTTCTCCCAAGAGAAACAACGAAGAGCAGATATTTAGCGGCAAGAAAATCATGTGGAGGTCTTCACGTAAGGCCTTCAACTGAGGTGACTCGCTCGCAAAATTGCGGTAGTTATCATCGGTGAGCATGTAACGCAAAACATCAAGGCCAGTTACTGTAGAGTGGATTAGTATACGTTCAAAAGTGTTCTTTACCTTTGAAATTTTCTGAGGGATGTCTTTACTTTTCAGTTTGCTGTAATCGGTGTAAATTCTTTCCGCGAATTGGCGCCATTCTCGCCTCCGATGGTCTCTTCGGTCTTCTTGGTCACGTCTGTTTTGGTATTCCCGACCCTCCTGTAAGCGCCTCTCCTGGTCCCTTCTGTCTTCTTGATCACGCCTGTTTTGATATTCCCGATCCTCCTGTAAGCGCCTCTCCTGGTCCCTTCGACCAGAAGTAAATGGTTCCAACTACAAAGACGACGATGATAAGAAGAAGGTTACCGCAAAAGTAGACAAGGGTTATTGACTCCTTGTACTCTTTAGCAAACCTCTGAATCATGGTCAAACTTTCTTCACAAAAATCAGGCTCGATTTTCGTATTTACTGAGGAAGCTTGACTATTTAATGTTTAGAGTGACGTCGAAAGAGTTTTGAGAGGCTCAATTTTTTGCCGCGACCTTTCCGTAAAATGGCTTCGACGTTGAGGATTATTTCAAACTGCTGACGATCTCTTCGCTTTCCGTGCCTCTCTTTATTTCCTTTTGCTAATTCGAAACTGATTGTCGGGTATTTTTCATTTTCTTGGAGTTTCTGTCTCATAGGCGTGTTTGTAACAGTATATCAGACTCTAAGTGATTGTTACCGGAATGCACAGATTACTTCTAGTATTACTAAGACTAGAATAAATCAATAAACTTCTGTGGTGCAATAGCTATTGTTTTAGTGAGGAATTGAGAGGAACAATTACCTCATAATTACATGGCTCAGATATTTTATTTTTTTATTCGCAGTTTTCGTAGAGTCAGAATAAAGAGAGATTGTCGAAACTGAAACATTGTTTGAAAATGCAGCACTATACGAACTATTTCAATTCCTCGAAGATCTACCGAGGGATTAGTAGCGAATAGTCTTCCATATCTTTAAGCTTCGTACACTTCTTTATGACGATAACGAAATACTTATTTATCGTCGGAATGTAATGGAAGAGGTGTTTTGTGTAAATGACCTATTTTTCTGTTTCCGGATGTGGGTTTTTTTTTCCCGGAAAACGTTAAGCTTGAATAGTAGCAAATATGGAACCTTACAAGGCCAGCGTTAAATTTGATATTTCATATGAGCCGCCCCGACATTTTTTACGTCAGCGGGAGTCTCACATCCTCTCTGAACCTGTGTCAAATTTATTTTCCATCTATACACGCATGCGATGACGGGAAGATCTTAGCCGGACTGCATCTTGGGAAGAGATCTAGGTGATTTCAAAATGGCGGCTCGAAATCTTCTCAGGGCTGCTGCTTCATGCAGACGAAATCTCGCTTTCAGTACGACTTTTACTCGGAACCAAAGCATATTCACGAAGTACAGAGAACCGCCTAACGGTTTCCTATTCAACGAGAAGGTAAGTTATTGAATTTTCTGCCATCCAAGCACAATTCAATACTACTTCAATATGGCGTTTGTGAATATATGGAAGTCATATATTCACTTCAATATGGCGTACCACCCAAAGGTTCTTGTAATAATAATATTTAGCTGACTTCGCTCCTAATAGTGATGTTTTCTTTTAAGTAAGAAAAGTTTAACAACTTATTTCTAATTTTTTACTCTTTTTTTGTGCTTTTTGCGGTAAAGTTCATCTGTAGATGCACTGGTCTAGATTTTTGAAGTTCAAATGAACGACGTTTATGTGCATGTGAATTCTCTTAGATATTACCCAGTTCATTATGCTTATGATGCATTCGGTACTGCTTTTGTATTTTGAATTTACGCTTACATTCTACGATGTGTATGCACTTTCAAGGCAAATGATCCTGTAGAGGATCATGTACATGTGCATGTACAGTTTTCAAAGTGCCTTTCATTTTGATTATGAGAAAAACTTAGCACTGACAGCTGCCATTCTCTGCAATCTATGCCACCACATGTTAAAGGAATCATCAACAAAGCAAAGATGTGATAGAAGCCACCTACTAAAAATACACAACAATCGCTTTAAAAATAGTTTTTAAATAGGTTAAATTTTAAGTTTAAAAAAGCTATATAACTCACCATATATTATTTAACCTTTTGAAATTGTTAGTGCTCATCAGTATTTCAATTGCTTAATGTTGTCTATCATAACCTTTGATATGTATTTTATCAAATGAATAAAGACATTGTTATCATATTATTATAGCTTATGCAAATTATATTGCATAAGCAATTGAAAATAAATGTGTATGTCCTTGTTTGTAACTTCATATTTGACTGCCGTTAAAACCAGGAGCTTCTGCTTATGAAAATTATGTTATATAAACAATTGAAAATAAATCTGTCTAAATGAGTCTTCTTAATTGACAGCCCTTAAAACCAGGAGAGAAGAGAAAATGGGAAGACTGGGAAGAGCCTTGGTACAGATGGTGGGCTCTCATTCTAGTTTCAATTCCTGTTTTGTTCTACTACAAGCCTGAAACTAGGTAAGATCATTTCCAACTTTTGTCATTTTTAAGAGTAGCCACTTCAGAACTTAACAAGTGCATTTCAGCACCAAACCTAGGTGTGTTCATTTCCTGACCTGTGTTAGCAATTTATGTCTTTTAGTGAAAGTGTGCATGGGAAGTACAAATAGTTGTTGCCCAGCTTTGTAGTTATTTTTATTTTCCGCTAGGTGAGATGATGTCCAACTTTTGTAGTTTTTTTAGAGTACTCACCTCAGAACTTAACAAGTGCATTTCAGAAACAAACCTAGATGTGTTTATTTCCTGACTTGTGTTAGCAATTTTTGTCTATTAAGTCGAAGTGTTCATAGTTTAACAAATTCTTGTTGTTTAGCTTTGTAGTTGTTTTTATTTGCCATTTCTCTTAAAAGTTAGTACTTCTCATAAAAGTTAGTGTGCTGCATTACAGTCCACTTGAGTTTGACTATAGCCCTGGTCAAGGTACTTTTAGATCAAACAGCTAAACAGTGCCTCTCACCATTTATTTGGAAACTGTTAGTGACACTTCTTAGAATGTTTCCTTCTTCCTTCTTAACCCTTTAACTCCCATGAGTAACCAAGACAGAATTTCTCCTTACAATATCAATACAATATCAAGCAGACAAGTGATGAGAATAAAGAAAAATATCAGTTAGAGGATTATAAGATGATTTAATACCAAATTCTCCAAACTGACCTCACAAAAACTGTATAGGAGATAGTAAGGAGAATTACTAATGAGATCTTGAGAGTTAAAGGGTTAAAGGGATCAGATGTAAAATGAAGATCAATTTGAACCTGGTAGATGGAATACATGTATTTGCTTTGAATTGTTGATTGTTAAAAGTACTCTGGATGACATTCATTTTGTGTTTGGATTAAAAAACTGGCCACCATCTTGACAAATCAGATGCAAGACTTAAACTTATCCTAGCCAGATCATTTACAGTTTTCTTGTCCTGATGCTTTCTATATGTTAATTATAACAGTGACTATTTCATCAAATGTGATTGGTGCATTAGCTGTTTTATTCTTCACTGATCATTCTGTACAGTTGTAATCGGATGGTGTAACTGGACAGGTGGCTGTAATCAGACGCCTGTAATCAAACCAGCCAATCATACTTAGTCCAGTCAGCTAAATACACCTATCACAGTATTGATAACAATAACCATAGCAAATACTCTGACTTCTCTTTGGCTCTTTGTAATCATCTTTTATTTAATTGGATGTTACAATTAGTTCAGCCAAAAATTGTTATACTAGGATATTCTAATATTTAGGGGTGCCTTTTTTGTTTTTGTTTAGTTAATTCAATTGCTTTGTTTATTTAATTGATAAAACTTAATTTAAAAGTGTCTGAAAAGCTTATCTATATTTGTAAACTGTTTAACACCTGGTAGTGATGAACATGTAACTTCTCCCTATAATATCAATACATTATCTATGAAACAGGTAACGAGAATGTTCAAACTTATCAGGTAGAAGTTGTTGTCTTGATCTAACACCAAATTCTTGTAACTGATTTGCAAGGAAATGTGTAGCAGCCAGAGGGGAGAGTTAACAATCAGATCTTGGGAGCTAAAGGGTTAAATAGACTCTTATTTAAAATTTTGTAGACCTGAAGTATGGGCAAGGAAGAAGGCGCACGAGATAGTAGCTGCTCGTGACGCTGCTGATGCTGAGGCTGCTGCACGGGGTGAATCTGTGGATGAAGGAGAAGACATTGGAGATTTTAAACTGAGTGAACTTAGAAGACTTCCCTGAAACATGTTTATTTGTTGTAATTATATATATTTTTACCAGAAACATTTGAGACAATTAATACAGTGAATTTTGGCTAATTGTGGCAAAATGCAACTTCAGTTTGAGTATAGTAACCTTTCCTTGTAAGTGGCTGTAATCATCTTGTGACTGGTTTTTAAATCACAGTGTTCTAGTGAGCTGTAATAGATATACCACCTGGTTTTTCAAATTAATTGATACTACACTTTTGTTGGATGAGATAATCACAGACTCGTCATTTCCACTAGGACATCTATTAGGAAATTTCAGGAAAGAACAGCTAATTGTTGAACTTGGCTTTACAATCTTAAAAGTGCAAAGCATTGGTCAACTTAGATGTATAATGGGGTGATGCAAAGCATTTGCCTTTGTATCTGAATTTTCCAGTTTGTTGTTATTGTTTATTTCTGTGTAAATACCACCCCAGGGGCCAGTTTCTAGAAGGTCCTGCTAACTTGGCAGGCCCATAAAGCTGTTCTGTTTTCATTCAAAATAAGGGTTTCAAAAATTTTGAGAATCATGCAATAAAATTAGCAGCTTGAAAAACAAAATTGACCAGTTAGGGTGCCAGAACCTGCTTCTTTATTCTTTAACTTTTGATGTTTTAATATGTCTTTGGGCCCATTAAGTTGCTGGGACTTTCAAGAAATAGGCCCTTGCAGATAATCACAACTTGCCTCACAATGTTGTGTGACAATGACAAAACAGTGGTAAAAGTGAAGTGATATTGGCCAGGGATAATATTTTACATGTGATATTAAATAATGGGTCTGTTATTTTGTTCAGGTTTGTTTTGATCTTCAGGTAATGTTTGTAAATAAATGTGGTAAAAATAGAGGAAGTACAGTCAAACCTGTATTAAGCAGCACCATATTAACCCTTTCACCCTTTAGAGTGACCAGCATCTAATTTCTCCTCACAATATCACCTCCAAATCACACATTAAGGTCTTGAGAATAAAGGAAATGGTTACCAACTAGAGAAGCTTTGGATTATTGCGCACATTCTCCTTGTCAGCACCTGAGGAAATGTATTGGGAACAGTATGGAGAATATGCATACTGATATTAGGGTATAAACAGTTAAGCTGTCATCCTGTAGTTCCAAAATAATTTTCTCTAGACACTGTCAGATAGGTTGAAGGTTGGACTTCCATCTCTCAAGGCTTATTTCAAGGTATCATAGTAAAAATGTGTGATGCTCACGTGGTTTTATTTTACGCGAGATCTACTTTTTTATTAAAGGATACAATCAACTTTTCTTATTGAAACAATTCAACTAAAATACACAATTTTTAAAAGCGTTCATTTCCTAGTCGGAGGTGCCAAAAAAAATTTGTGTGTGATCGAATATAAATTTGATGTGCAAAGCGAAATTAATGGTTAATTTCTCACCTTTAATGAAATTTGTTTACTCAAGGTATTTCATGATCAATAATTATTTACATAAGCGGCCGCCGATGGTGTAACAGGCAGCTGAACCCGGGAAAGGGGGTCTGGGGGCAAGCTAAACAGACGACAATAGAGATCTTATAGGCGGCGGTATACCAACCGTAACCTGCTTTTATTGAAACCGCTGTACTCAGTTTTTTGAAAAAGTCCTCAGATAACGACTGATTTACTAGAGGACAGCGATTTATTTCGTCGAGCGAACCAGAAAACGAAATAATAATTTTCTACTCATCTCTCGGCATATCTATTTCACTTAGTTGATTTTTTTTTCTTAGCTTAAAGGACAAGTACTGATATCCGCTTCTTAGAAAAAAAGTTTCGGCTGATAGCAGGAGTGATGATAGAACTATTGGAGGATTTGGATTGTGTCACGACATAGATAAAAATGACAAGTTCTGCAATATGTTCCTCTTTCATTGACAGTTAATTGGCAATCAATTAATTTGCTTTCCGTATTTTATTGGAAAAAAAAGGCAATCTCTGCCAGATTGCAATGTTGAATCTCTACACATATTTATCCGTCACACTTTAATTTGATTTAACTTTACTTCTTAGTTGAATCATCTTTCCCTTAACATCGTTATCTATTCAGTTCAGATGATAACAGGGTTACTGCGGTGGTGGTACCTCTTCAATCATAATCCGGGACACTCTATGATATGTGATCCCATCACCATCCGCATCAGCAACTAAATTGAGATGCTTTCCGTATTTTATTTATTCTATTTAGAAAAATGAACACATATCTTCGTTCGACACAAACTATTTTTCAGCACTGCAAATTTAAGAAATGTGGAAATGGAGTCTGTGAAATGGAGTCTGTTGCTGATGAGAACCGTCTTTATACATATAACTTTTAAAACATTGTATTTCCTAGGATCACCAGCTCTTCAAATCCGTCGAAATCAGGCTCAAATTTTTTAACCAGGACCGCGTTTGAAAAGAAGTCTGGGTAAATGTATATGACCATGATTAGATGGGCAAAGGTATGAAAATACTGTAGCGAAGATAGGCTTCTAAATCGAGAAGTTAAAGATCTCTTTTAACTACGCCATCGTCCTTCCTTCTCGGTTAACCCTTTAAACCTCAACATCAGTATGCATATTCTCCATACTATTGTCTATACATTTCTTAATGTACTGGCAAGGAGAATTTGTTTATCAATCAAGAGGTTTTCAGTTGGTGATCATTTCCTTTATTCTCATAACCTTAATGTTTGATTCAGGGATGATATTGAAAGGAGAAATTAGATGCTAGTCGCTCTCGGTGATTAAAGGGTTAAGCCGATTGGAACATTGACTAAAACGACGCGCATGCAGATAATCATCAAACTCAGAGCCGAGTGTTCTGATTAGTTTCATGAAGCAAAGTAGTCATCGGCCAATATATCTTACAATTCAGCTTGGTCTTGTTAAATTTTTCGATGCGATTCAACTGAAGCTAGCAGAAGCTATAACATCCTCATGGAAAGTGAAACTTCGAATAAAGCAGGTTTATTTTGGATGTGAGTTTGATAACACATTTAGCCAAGAGAATATCAGCTGTTGACATCCTCTTGACATAGCACAATATTTTTATCAGAGAAGGTTTCAGAAGTATCTCAACAATTTAAACCGTAAATGCACACAGCTATTGAGAAGTCATTCGTTTTTGTAAACTTTGTCCTGTTTACTAGGGATGGAATTCTAACGAACGAGACTCAATCAAACTGTTTTATTCCGCTCTCGTATTCGCTTATTCACATCGGGTCTGTTAAGAAATCACTTTCTTATACGATATTCTCTACATTGTGATTGGTTGTTGCCAAGTACTGATATAAAAGGTCATTCAAGGTTGCGTTGATTATGTAAACCGATCAATGTCCATAATGTTCACACTCATCATCTGACATGTGTCACGCACGAATCAAAGTCTCCGACACGAAAAGTTTTATTGGAACAAATAACCTACCCCTTAGGGCAACGAGAGGAAGGGGGGGAGGGGAATGGGGGGAAGGGAATGTGGGGGAATGGAAAAGGATGTTCGTAAAATTTATGAAATAAATGAATTATACTAGAGAAGGGGGTGGGGGTAGATAGAGAGGTGCTGGATGCCTTCCCACCGAGTTAAGTTACTTGGTTATTCACTACTTCTTCTAAAAATTTGGTCGAAACTTTCTGAGAGGGGAAGTGACTCCAAGAGGGAACTTAAATGCAACTCAACGAGCTTGAAATAAATTTCAACGCTCGAATGTTTGATTATACTCGTTCAGTTCATCCTTCCAAATAGCTGCCTCATTTCCTCCGGGTTCCAAAAATAATTATTGTTACGTATAAAGGTTAAGGTTACTTACCTTTATTTTCCCGCTGTCTGTATTCGATTCTGCCCTCCACACACACTGTTTCCAGTTGGCCAGTTGTCTTGGGTCAATGTTTGCTGCATCCCCTTTTTGTCCCTTTGTTCCACTGATCCCTCTTTCTCCTTTGAATCCTTTGGAGCCTCTAGGGCCAATGTTCCCTGGGATTCCCGTACCATTAACTCCTTTCTCTCCCATCTGCCCTTTGGGACCCTCAGGGCCTCTCGGACCAATTTTCCCAGGGATCCCTGCTACTCCTTGGGCACCCCGCTTTCCGGGGCTGCCTCTCTCTCCTTTAGTGCCGTCCCTACCGGGAAAACCTGGGTTTCCCGGCATGCCTGGAACGCCGTTTGATCCAGGTATTCCAACCAATTGGCAAGACTGACATGACTGTTGAGTTAAAAATACGGTATAAAACTTTTTAGACCTTCCTTCCCGCACTTTCTCGCGAAGCTAGAAAAAGCTAAAGCTTGACGCTAACAGTAGACCTCGAGGGAAAAAAAAAGAGAGAGACAGAGACAGAGAGTATGTTAACAGACTATATTCGTGCTTTAGAATGCATCTTCTTCAAATTATCTAGGAACGATACCGACTTTTCTGGACTTAAAATTATCCAATGTAATATTAACGGGGATTTCGTACCCTCGTGAATCGTTTCATGTGTTTGAGAAAGCATGTTTTTGCGCGAGGTTAAAATAAACAAACTTATCGACCGGAGCGTTGAGGGAAACCTAAATTTTCTTAGATGTTTTACGAGGAAATGCATTGCAGCTTGGGGAGAGTTACGGCTCAGATCTTGGAAATTCAAGGCTTAGTGGGTGTAAGAAGGACTGCAAGGCTTGGGTCTGAAAGTTGTTCACTAGTATGTCACATTACTAATTCACCATTATCGTAACATACAACTTTTTATGAAAAACAAAATCATATTATCTGAGGATGCTTATGAATACCAATTAACAACTGACTGATACCGAACATTTCAATTAGATAGTGTAGTTAGATCCATAGAATACTTGTTTAAATAGTCTGAATGTTTTGCAGCTAACATTTTTTGGACTAACCTTGCAGCTTGATGCTGAAGCATTTCCTTGATCTCCGTTGGCGTGAGCTGCTGGGTACAGGGAAACGAAGATAATGAAGTGAGGCAAAACACCTTGCATGATCTTTTGAGTAGCGAGCCGCTAAAGCTTTGGGGATTATCTCTCTTTCCAAGGTACTTCTGGTACGGTCCGATGATGCTCGACAAGGGGAGGTTCTCAACCCTTATTTGAGCATTCCCTCCAACTCGTCTGTGTATATATCAGGAACATCGTTCGGTTGGTGTGCACCTGGAATTGATTGACATTTCATCAGTGTCAGCGTTGTTTAAGAGATCAGCTGACGCGTGCGAAAATTTTAATCTTTCTGTATCGCCATATAAGGCTTTTTAAGTTCAAATCAGCGACAGCTGGAAGATACATGTAAACTTGCCTGTAGAGCACCAAACATCACCTGATGTTTCAAAAGGGCTAATATTCAAGCTCTCTTGAGGAGAAAAATGCCGTTGTCTCACTTCACTGATCCGGTTTTACTCGATAGTTTAAATCCAGTTTGAGAGAAAACAGTTGTTATTTGGAGTCAACTTGGACCAACTCGCTTTCGCGCATGCTTTAGTATCAGTAGAGATTCAGCGCGCTCTAGGTTCAACCACAAGTCATACATTTGAAGAAAGCAGCGAAACTAAAATGTGACTTAACAATAAGGCTAACGGATAATATTGCGTGCCAGGACCATGCAACTTTTAATCTACTGCTACTTCATTTACCATCTTCCTTGTTCTATTAACTCACAGGACGCTTTTTACGAATCCTAATGCAAATCCTAGCAGTATGAAGATTCTAGTCAGCTCTGTAGTAGAGCCTCGTGGCGCGGGAAGCGAAAGCCTGGATTCCGGTTCACGCTGGATTCGTTCGTTCTTTTAATTCATTACCAAGCTCTCTTTCTTATTCTAATCATTTCCTGTTTTTTTTAAGGTAACGTCGCGAGGTATGACGTCAGAACTTTTTGGCCGTGTTACGGCTATCGGTTAACCCCATTGATATCCTCTCTCGAGAGCTCATCCTATCTTTGAAAGCTAAATCTTTGAAACTGGTTTCCAGTGATCTTGTCACAGTAACCTTGTCTTTCCCGGTGTTAATCTCGTCTTAAGTTTAAGTTGTCTTGCCTGGTGTTGAGTTTGAATCCGTGGGTTAGCCCTAATCCTGACATAATATTTTCTTTGTTTTAGCACCCTTAGGCCGGCTAACTACTTTTAGACTTGGAGAAGTTTAAAATCTCCTTCTCGTGCAACTGCTGCACGAGCGCTGTGACTTATTATGAGTAGTGGCTTTCATGGCCATGATTTCAGGCGTGCATAAGCCATGTTACAGATTATCACGCTACAGTATTTGGTAGGTCACGTAGGGTTTTTTCGATGAGAGAAAGAAAACAATATATTAAGTTCTTCAATCCTCGAACGGTTTTTATTAATATTAGGCAAATCCAAAAATGACCAGCGGGACGCGTACTTTTCCCTAACGGAGAGCGCCCAACACATCATAAACGTTTACCAGTGTTGCAATAGAATGAGTGCATAATGAGCAAAAGAATTATGAAGAGATGAGACGAAAGAATGGCTTCAGTCTGGTGCGTTGTATCGCTTAACCCTTAATGAGAAAATATAGTATTTTTGAGAACAAATAATAAGCAAAATAAAGAACGAGCAAAACAAAGAAAATATTATGTCAAAGTCTGTTCTCTGAAGGGTCTTCTTATTAATAATAATAATAATGATAAGAACAATATTAATAACAATAATAATAACAACAATAATAAAACCAATAAAGCCGATAACAGCAAGTCTATGATCCAGATATATCATGTCACTGATTATTAAAACTCTCAGTTTTCAGAACTATGCGCTCGGGAAACTGTGTTTTCAGATTTTGATAAGGTCCACAAGGCAAAAGATTCTGCAGACCCACTCCTCTTGTTTCATTTTCTTGCCAAATGCAGACTGTTTTTGATATGTCCTGTGGTCAATATGAAGTTATTGTTTGTGATAACCGAGGAAAGTCAAGGCTTCTTTCATGATCAGCTTCATTGTGAAGATCTGTCTCACATCTGAAGTGTGAGCTTTCTTCCTTTTGAAGAAAGATATTCCCAAAAATATGAACCTGCATAATCCAGTCAAAAGCAATTGCTCAGGCAAAAACCAGTGAATAGTGATTCAAGGCGTAACAACTTTAATTTTGCTGAACAAAAGCAAATGCACTCATTTATCTGCCAGAAAATCCCAGCATATGACCATTCAATGAGAGGTTTTTCAAGCTGTTAAATTTTTCTTTTATTATTTTGCATTTTTCTTATTGCTTAAACCATAGCATTTACAGGAAACAAAATGATATTGTGTAAAGTGTCCGAAGAAAGAAAAAAAAGGGAAAAAAACTGTAGTTCTGTATCTCTTCCATTTGTCACTATTAAGATCCCTCCTTTGTGGCCTCCTACTTTTCTTCAAGAGTGGTTCTTGGACATCTACTGGGTGGCTCCTCCTTAGCATGTCTGGAGTAGGAACAACATTTGCGCTCACGGCAACTGTCCTCTGAAGCTTTTTCCTCTGTTTCTTTAGATTGATCCCCAAGATTTAATGCCTCAAGACCTTTAGCAACAGCAATATTTTCCTAAATATATTGGATAATCAAAGTTTTAATGACTATTGTACATCAGTAGGAAGAAGTCACTTTCATAGAGAGCACTTACAAGACAAAAAGCATATCCTGTCACACCCCCCCCATACCTTCCCCTACCCTGACAGTGGCAGAGCCAAGGGGGGGACACGGGGGGCCTGTGGGCCCCCCCCCCCATTTTAGGTGGACCAAAAATTAATATCAGTGCTGAACTGATTTTTTTAAAATCAAAACTAACTCTCACTCTAAGAAAGGTTCTAAAAAATATCAGACAACTTTCAAGATGTAACTGGCATCAGTTGTAGCCCAAACCTTTGTTGTAAATGACAAATAGGCCATTGAGCTGTGGGTGCAGTGAATTGGAGGCTGCCAATTATGAACTATGCATTTTCATGCCTCCAGACCCCCCCTAGAAAGCTCATGGTGCCCCCCCCCCCCTTTGATAATCTTAGATCCACCCCTGCCTAACAAACCCACACCCACATCTTATGGCTTCCCAACAGTCCTTTTGGAACCCATTAATGCCCTTAGGGGAGGGGGGAGGCATTGTGAGACTTAACTAAACCATACCAGGGATTTCATTTTCACGTGACACTGCAGAGTTCATTGTGAATATGGCATGTAAGAAATCAAAACCATAGCACTGGATGTTGTTGAGGATGGTGGTAGGGGTGGAAGAGGTCATGAGAGTGTTTTAAAATCAGTACCCAGCTACTTGTACAAACAGGTAACAGAACACAAACCTCCAGTCTCAGACCAGTCAGATCTCTCTTCATAGCATAAGCATCTTCACCATCAGCATAATATTTGGGTTCAATCTCAGAAATGCTGTTTATGAAAAAAAAAGGAATATTTCTATAACAGTCTCATGGTGGTATGTGTGATTCAAAGCAAGAAGAAGAAAACTTAGGAAATGACCAAACTGTCTTCCTCTACTAAATATCCAAACCCACTCTACTCTGGATCAAAGACAATTAACCCTTTAACTCCCAAGATCTCATTAGTAATTCTCCTCACTGTCTGCCATATAGTTTTTGTGATGTTAGTTTGGAGAATTTGGGATTGGATCAACCTATAATCCCCATGATGATTGATGTTTTTCTTTATTCTCATCACTTATCTGGTTGATATTGTATTGATATTGTAAGGAGAAATTCTGTCTTGGTCACTCATGGGCACTAAAAGGCTTAGAAGCCAAAAATCCACCTCCAACACTCCACCCCTCCAAAACTGATCAGCTTACTGCTTTGCTTCTCCCACATAATCAAAAATATTTACTATTAGAACTTCCACCCCTGGCTGCCTTAGCTAATGTGGGTGTAGAAACATATGGAGCCACACAAAATGCAAGTTTTTGTTCCAGGTGTTACTCTTTTTATGAAGCTAACCTGAATCCCAGAGTCTTGTTGTAAAGATGAAGAGCTGCCCTGTTACTGTTTGAAAAATAAATGCACAGTGTGTTACATCAGTGGAGTGTGACCCTGTATTTTAGAGGAGGGTGGAACTCTTAAGTTACTTGTCATTGCAGATATTTCACATCTGCATCATTTGAAGTGATGCCAATGGTTATGTGTAGTTTGTACATGATTTGTTTTGGGGTAAGTAGCATAGACTTTTTAATTTGGCAATGCCTCTATCCACCCAAGATTATCATGATTGTCAAAAAGTACCATCAATTTTTGAGAACAAATCATAAAATTCTCAGATGTTATCATGAAATAGAGTCTGGAAAGAGTAAAGCTTGTAATTTTCACACTTTTGCAAAGGATGTTGTGTAATAGAGGCTTTAGTTTAACAAGCTAATAGGGAAACAGAAACAGACCTATTCCCATTACAAGAAGACAGTCTTCACCCTTTATACCCTAACATCAGTAAGCACATTCTCCACACTGTTTTCTGTACATTTTCTAAGGTGCTGACAAGGAGAATTTGTTTAACAATCAGGAGCTTCTTAAGTTAGTGATCATTTCCTTTATTCTCATGGCTTTAACATTTGATTCAGGGGTGAAATTGTATGGAGAAATTAGATGCTGGTCACTCTTAATGGTCAAAGGGTTCAGCAAAAGCATCAAGGCAACTGCCCACCAACCCCTCCCCTAACCTAATAACAGTCAATTGATAACAAGTTAGGGTTAATGTTGGGTTAGGGGAGGGGTAGGTGGGCAGTTGCCCAGATACTGATATTGATCTGATTTGTCTTACCTTTTTCTTACATGAAGTGAGACATACTGAGCATTAAAACATTCAACCATAGCACGGGATGCCTATATTCAGAACAGATTTTACATATTATTTAATATATAAATCAAAGCAGGGTTGTAGATAAGAACCAGCAGCTGGTGAAATACACTGGCTTCTCTGCAAGGTTTTGCTGGCTACTTTCATTGCTTCGAGAGCCCGTAAAGAGATGATGTTTATCAGGTCTAAACTTGGGCTCAATAAAAATATAAATTTGCACTGCCTATCTTTTCTGAAAACATAAAAAGACTTCTGACTCAAAGTTAGTTTAAAAATGTTCTGATGGGGACTTTCTTTTTGACAAATCTTGCTGCAGTGGCAGGAAAGTACGAGCGATATGATGTTTTGTCCACCATATTGGATTTCGAGACCCCCAACTGTTTACCTTTAAAAAAGCTCTGGCTACTTAAAACCTTAAAGAAAACCCTGTTAAAGTATTTTAGAAATCAATTCTTAGAAAATTCCATTATCACCATGATTGAATAAATGAAGTACATATTACCTGTTCCATGAGTTTTTGAGCCAACCCTAGTCTTCTATGTGAACGTTTAACTGCCTGTAAAGTATAATATAATATTAGTCATTTACAAAATTGTACAAGCACTATCAAATTCTATTTACGAACTACAAGATCCTGTGAGGAGATTTTACTGGCCTTACATTAAGCTACCCAAATATATTTTTCAGTCCTTGATTTTGTTTTCTTGCTCCATAAATATTCTTTAACCCTTTAACTCCCAAGATCTGATTGTTAATTCTCCCCTCTAGCTGCTATACATGTCCTTGTAAATTAGTTATGAGAATTTGGTGCTTGATCAAGATAGCAGCTTTTACCTGATAAGTGTGAATATTCTCATAACCTGTTTGCTGAATAATGTATGGATATTATTGGGAGAAGATTCATGTTAATCACTAAAGTGTTTAGTATTACACCATTAGTATTTCAAGACAAGAATGGAGATACCAGTATGAAATTTCAGGGGAGAGGGGTGGAGATACCATTGAAAGGGTTTCCAGGGGAGTGGACAAAATTAGGTAATGCAGTGGCAGTGGCTGGTGTGCAACAAAAAAATTTCAGACATCAAAGCTCAAGAACCAAGCATCTGGGGAGAAGTAATCCCACATTATAGCATCATTGTTGATTATTAACAATTCACAAATTACAAAATTATTACCAAGGAAGTAATATGTCCATGAACAGCTTCATCAGGCTCTTCTTCCCTAAGAACAAAAATATCAAAAAAAGAAAGAGATAATTATGGAAAAAAAGGACAACTTAAGCATTTAATTATAGATTTGAAGTATGTTTTATATCTGGGACATCATTTGAAAACTATATTCCATGTTCTCTACTGTTCATTTGCAGATCTGCTGACAGATGACACAAAAATGAGTAACGAACAATGACATGTAATAAGAACTACATGCAAGAGTATCTCTGATGTTTTCACCACAAACAGACATCAACACACGTTTTCATAGACTCTAACTGTTCTAGACACAACAGATAATAAATAAGCATATTTTATCGGACAGTCAAGACAATTTAATCGTTATATATTTTTTATATATATATCTCCTATAATTCACCTCCGTGATAGTGGTGATAGGTTGGGTAATTTCAGAAGATAAGTGTTAAGTTTTGCACATTATTATTGCTACCTTTCAAACCATTATGTCTGATGTGTCTCAATCACAAGAAATATGTGAAGTTTTCCTTACATTTTTGCCAGTACATATCCCACAATCTTTCCTTTCTCATCCTCTGCAACATATGACAACTGAAACAGAAAATAAAATAAATATAAGAGAAAAACCATGCACGTGAAAAACCACAGAAAACACAAATAATGATCGAGGTCAGCTGTTTGTAAATTATTTTTTCTCTCACCTGAGGCCAAGACAAACCATGGTAGAAATAATATTTCATTTGATAATTTTCAGGTAAGCACAGCAAGTTACAATGCTGCATGTTCATCAGATCTTCAGGCTGAAATGCAAAAGTAACGGAAAGTTGCAGAACCTGTGCAAATTGGCAACGTTTAGGATCGGCATATCTTTACTAAACCTTAATTGGACGAGATCAAACCATGAACACACGCAGATTTACAGAAGAAATAACTAAACCTTACCGTAGCACACCTGATGTTCATTTTATATGCGTCTGAGAAGAGTAAAGGAAACTTTTTCTGAAACTAACTTCCGACACAGACTCACGGTCCAACTCGAACTCTTATGCTACGAAAAAACTAAAATTATGGCCAGTGGTCTTACAACTTACCCATAATCCTTCTAGATCTCGTGGCGCGAACAGATCGCGATGGCGGACGATTGACTTTTCATAATTCCGGTATAAATTTGTGTTTTTGTTTCAACTGATCACGATTTTTCTCAACAGATTTCTCTTAAATGGATGAAAGCGTACTGACCTCTCTCCTCCTGTTAAACCCTTCGGGTACAAACACGGGATACTGTTCGGTTCAAGATAGTCTGGATGAAGTCGAGAGAAGGGACTCACATCTTGACACAGATGTTATTTGCATTGAGGATTCCCCGATAAGTATCTCGAGCACTGTCAATGAGGAGATGTCAAATATAACTCCTTGTTCTTCTGTCCATGAAGAAGAAGATAATGCAAGCGTAGTGGAAATTTTTGTTTCCTCTAAGCCAGGAACCTCGCGGGAGTCGAAACCACCATTGTTCTTTCTTGAAGATCAAGATGACGGGGTTTCATCATCGTGTTCGATCTCAGTAAACATGGATGTTCAAGATTACTACGAGAGGATTACGAACAAAGAAGAACCTTCGACTTCTAGGAGAAAAGAAAATCGTTTAATCAAAAGAGAGCGAGATTTCACTGTCCCTTGTTTAGAGACAAGAACTTCACTTAAAGCTCGCTACGAATCTAAGTTTAAGCTGCACATGAGATTACGAAAGGCTGCTGGAATCTCTAATGCGCAAAATTTCCGGAGAAAGTTTTACAAATACAAGAAGCATTTACACAAGGAACTTGATGACTGGGAAAATTACTTAAATGAGCAGAGTGCACAGGAGGCTTACATCGCTGTTGAGAATGTAGTTGATAATGAAGGTCCACCGAAAGACTTCATATACGTGACTAATAATGTGATGCACCAAGATATGCCAAGTCATTTGTTTGACATTGATTATCTTGTTGGGTGCAGCTGTGAGCGGATATGCACAATGGAAACTTGTGACTGCCCACGAAACGGTGGAGGGGAGTTTGCTTATGACAGGAACGGAAGGGTGCGTGTGAAACCAGGCACACCTATATATGAGTGTAACCCGCGCTGTCCCTGTAGTCTGTCATGTAGAAATCGTGTGTTGCAGCGAGGCCGGACCGTTAAGGTGAGTACTTTTCAAATTTCTTTTATGTACATTTATAATGTTGGACATGTAACCCTAGCAGTGGTTTGTCTTTTTCTTTTTATGAGCCTGGCAACCAGACTTACAGCATTCACATTATTCAATGGAATAATTTTGTCACCTGTTGGCTTGTGAAGTTTGATCCTGGTTACCAAGCTTTTCTTGTCTGTTACTACCTATGTGAGAAATTTCAGCTTTGTTAGCAAATTTATTAAGGAACAAACTTTCAAAGTTTTTTCCTGTTCTCATTCTCGAGTGTTCATATGAGAGATATTTTTTGCCCAGTGATCCACATCTGAGAAGCCAAAACCAGATATGTACAACATGACCAGCTCACCTTTTTAAGAATACACTGATATTTGTCCAAGGTTAAAAATGGGGAGGTGAGATCTTATGCACTGGATCAGGGCTTGTATGAGGAGGCAAGGAATGATACTTAAGAAATATACAAACCTATTAGAACCTTTGTATCTTTGACCATTGTTCACACAACTTTGATGAAAGACCATTTATGAACAGACTTATGAGGCTGGCCAGTTCCCTTGAAGCTTAAATGCCTATTGAATGCTGAGAAGATACTTAATCATGGTAATAGGACAGATTGGAGTCCAATTCAGTCTGTAATCACTAGTATGATTCCAGACAGAATTGGACCACACAAAGTCCTGTTACCAATTAATCAAAACTATGAAAAAATATAAGATAGAAACTAGGCATTGTTATATGTTTCCTTAAAAAAAAAAAAAAAAAAAAAAAAAAAAAAACACTAGTTAACTCGGTAAAATGCAAGACAACTTTATTACACTGTCCAATTACAAGCATGACATGCACACTGTTCTATTAGTGCTCAAATTGGACTGGTGATAACCATTCATGTCCAAGAATTTTGTTTTAGTTTTGATTAAAGGGGATATCAGGGAGTTGTACAGCTTCGTGGTAGTTTTCTGTACTCAGATATGACCCTTTGATGAGAACTTCTATTGGAGCATGAAGGCCCAACTTTCAACCTTAGACCTCCAACACTACTGTGGGCCACCTTCAAACCTTTACACCCTAAAATCAGTATGCATATTCTCCATACTGTTCCTTATACATTTCCAAAGGTCCTGACAAAGAGAATTTGTGTAATAATCAACAGCTTTTTTTACTTGGTGATCATTTCCGTTATTCTCATGATATTAATATGTGATTCAGGGGTGATAATGTAAGGGGAAACTAGATGCTGGTCACACTTAGAGGTCAAAGGGTCAAAGAAATGAGAATTATGTCTTCCCTGGGTGCTCCAGCTTAACAGGAGTTCTGCGCTGATCACTACAATTCTGTTTAGCTGGCCTTTCAAAGTTGGACTTACTAACAGGGCGGCTGGGTTGAAGATTTAGTAAAGCTACAATATAGATATTTTGTGTTGGGTTCACAAAATTACGGCATTGATTTCAAGGTAGCTTTATTCAATTGTAATAACATTACCTTCATTTTCCTCCATCAATTCCCATCCATGCTCCCTCAAGGAAGATTTTAGCAGCTGATCACTCTTTATATTCAATAATATAATAAGCCACTCATGATGATTGAAGCACACTATTGTTTGTAAAATAAAACTTTCCCTCCATTGTTGTACACAGAGAGCAAAATGTCTCTGTTTCATAAAGTATTAATAAGGTATTAGAGAAATACCTTATAAAGAAAATGAAATAAAGAAATAAAAAAATCAAATACTTTAAGTCTCTTCTGAAGTTACTATTGTTAAGATGTAAGGTTATAGGATTTGTCTGAACATTATGTAAATCCTTTGAAGACAGCTTTTTCTTGGTTTCTTTGACCCATGTTAAGTTCAACATTATCAAATATGAAATAGAGGTAAGAGCCATCACAATATAAACTTAGGGCAGAAATTGTTTGCATAAGTTACGGGGGTTGAGTTGAGAACGTGTGATCTTTAGTTTTAGTTGACTTCAACTGCGTTGCCTTTGTGGTGTGGCATCCATTCAAGTCAGGTGTAGTTTCATACTGGTACAAACTATCAGGGTCTCTGCCCTCTCTGATCCTCACTTTTTTAAGGTCTGCAGCCTCTTTTCCTCAGCACTGCCTGAAGATGTTGCCATGTCATCAGTGACTGTGGGGTCCAACTAACCCCATTCTGTTGAATATTGCCTGCCCACATTTTGTAGGGCTATCTCCATTGGAATTCTGCATATTTCCTCCATGTCCAGGAGAGCAGATGTGGTCTGGTTGAATGTGTGAAGTTTGGTCTTCAGTGAGATTTTGCACTGTGGCAGAAAAGCCATTGTTGCCTTGCTTAGCTTTGGTCATCTCATGCTGTTCCTTTTTTCCATCTTTGCCCCTAGACTTTGCTGACAGGTAAAGCTGTCATCCTCTCTAACAGTTTCCCCTTTCTCTTTCTTGTTGTTGGTCTTTGTCTTGGTCATGTTTTTGCTACTAGCTAGGCCAGTATCAAGATGTAATCTCAAACCATAATGTGAAAAAACTTCATTAGTGCAACATTTATCTAACCAAGCTATTAATTCTTTACACCTTAATGTCAGTATGAATATTCTCCATACTGTTCTTTGTGTATTTTGTATATCGCTGATAAGGAGAATTTGTTTATCAATCAAGAGCTTCTTTAGATGGCAATCATGTTCATTATTTTAGTGACCTCAATTTGAGATTCAGGGGTGATATTGTTAGGAGAGATTAGATGTTAGTCACTTATAGGGGTCAAAGGTTTAAGGTCATTCCACCTTACCTCTCCACTCTTATTAATCTGGCCTTGCCAAAGTCAAGTCTTGCATGAGGATGCACAGTTTGGATTTCAGTAGCTTTCAGCATGGTCCAGTTAACAACCATAAGAGCAAAGTGGTCTTTCTCTATCTGACTCATTGCCCAAGATCTTGAGTACACAGCTGTTTGTGATACATATAGTATCACCTTGTTCCATCTCAGCAAGGAATGTTACAGATGGAAGCAAGCATAACAATTGCATTATCCTTTCCACAGTGGTGAAGTCTGGATTTCAAGACCAAGTGACACCATTATGTTGTATCTTTTGGGGAAGACACTTTGCTCTCACCTTGCTTTTCCTACCCTGGAGTACAGATGAGCACTGGAAAATCATTGGGCAGACATGATAAAGTGTTGGGCTGTAAACTTTGATCTGTTGGCATCCCATCCAAGGGGAATAGCAATATTTTGAGAGGCCTCTTGCTATAGGGAACAGGATAAGCTCTGGCAGTATGGACAACTTGGCTTGGGTGCTGATTTTTCTTTTACCTTCACCACTTTTAAAAGACATCATTAAATGCTGAATGACTAGATAACTTTCTACTTTGAAACTTAAAAGATTTAAGAATCACTTCAGGAAGCTTATCCTGCAAAGGCTAATGCAGCCAAACATTACAATTTTGAAGGGGGGGGTATAAGGCCTCTTGCTAAATTTTAGCCAAGCAAAAAATTTGGTCTTCTTTCCTTGGTGACCAAACTTTTGCAACTTGAAGTGCTGCTTATTCCCAAAGAGTGATACCAAGTTGCAATACTGTCCTGCCCCTCCCCACTCCCTTGAACCACTTGCCTCATTGTGATCCTCAGCTACAATACTTCTAGGATTGCACAGAAGATGTGCTTTAGTCTGAAATTTTTAATCCACCACAATCTGACCTTATGCAACTAGATGCATGCCCCCTCTTTTGGACCACTTCCATTCATGCTTGATATTTATGGTGTTTCCTTGTGAAAGCATTGATTCTATGTGAATGGTGGAAGGAGGGAACCAAGACTGACAAAATGTCTTGAAGAAGTTGTTTACTTTAACATAAGGAAGGAATTTGGAAAATGAAATATCATGTATGTTGTGGTGCTGACTATGCTGCCAGTTAGGAACTGTAGTATTAAGAACTTACCTAAAATGCTTGTATATGCCTTCCTCTCTTACTATTGCCCAGTCTAGGGCTCCAAGCCTCTACTAAGCTTCCTCATACCAGCCCTTTTTTCTGTAATTCCCCTGTCTACAGCTTCAAGTCCCTTGAAAGAATTCCCTCTTTTAAGCCTCCATTTCTAACAGGTCCCTTCTGCATTATGCTTCAAGTTTCTGGTAAGGCCTCTCCACCCACACACCCCCCCTCTTAAGCCCCCCTTCTTGACAGGGCCTCCCTTATTTTTCCCTCTAGAACTGCTCCAATTTTTTTAGTCAGCTCCACCTTTGTTAGGCCTCCCTCTTTACTAAGCCCATTCAATTCTTAAATATAATTCTCCTCTAGATCTCCAAGTTTTGGTAAGCTCCCTCTTTGTCCAGGTTTCCTCTTCTTTAATTCCACCCCCTCTCCCTCCTCTATCTAGAGCTCCAAATATCTAATGATAATTCTCCAGTCTAAAGTAAGATTTCTCTCAATTAGCCCCCACCCCCTCTCTTTACTTAGACCCTTAGAACTCTAGTACTCCTTGTGTTTGGAGATGTTACTCTCAATTATGCCCCTCAGTATTAAACTTCCCTGTCTAATAATTCCCCAGTCTAGGGCTCCAAGTTCCTAGTAAGCTTCTCCCTATGAAACTTGCTCACCCAATAAGCTCCCCTTCAAAGACTCCCCCTGTTTAGAGCAATAAGTCCTTAAATAAGCTTTCTCTTGCAGAACTCTCCCTCTCTTCTAAGCTCCCCTCTAAGAATTCCCCGTCCAGAGCTCCCAGTACCCAGTAAACTTCCTCCCTTAAGGGCCTCCTTTTGTATTACTTCCCACTTGAATAACTGCCCTTTCTAGAGCCCCATTATCCTAGCATTTCAATGTAAAACCTGTTGCTTTAGTAACATCCCCTCTCTAGCTATTTTCTTTTCTAGAGCTCTATTGTCCTTTCCATTCTATATAAAGCTGCTTGCTTTAATAAAATCCCCTCCAGTAATTCCCTTTCCTAGAACCCCGTGTCCTGGCAAACTTTCAAGAGCTCCAAGTTCCTAATGTGGTTAAATGGAGCAATAGTGAGCTCTCCACTCAACCCATCAAAACTGCGTAGCTGCTCTGCAAGCTGATCAGGTTGGCAATGCCCTCCATATATTCTCCTATTTTTTCCACCTCTACACCATCTACCATCTAAGGCAACAGAACATGCAAAATAAATACACTATACAACAGGGCAAAGAGAAAGACAGAAAGCAGAGCAACACAATGGCTATGCTTAACAATCCAAACATTAGTTTTTTTTTGTGAAAGAGGCTCATCTTTTGTAGAAATGAACTTAAAGCACAATGTTTTTTTGTTGGTCAAAATGAACACTTTAAATGGTTTTGTTTGTGTTTTTTTTATGCTTGAGTAAGGCTGTAGGAAGTGTTTTGAAAACTGCAATGTAAAATACTAGAAAATAAATGATATTGGGATAATAAATCTCTTATTTGATAGTTCAAAATGTAATAATAAAAGCAGACATTTTGCTGATTGCTCTGATTTATACTAAGTAGTGGGCAAATTATTCAGGCACCTGTGTTAGATGGTGGACCATCATATAAGGTGTGTATATTGTACTGGAAAATATGGAGAGAACTGTAAGATGTTCATCACTGCTGAAGTTTAAAAGGTTTTACTTATTTTATTTAAACTGTACATTACAAACAGGTGGCAATATTCCGAACTCCAAATGACTGTGGGTGGGGTGTGAAGACCATGGAACACATAGAGAAGAACCAGATGGTAACTGAATATGTTGGTGAGGCCATAACACAAGAGGAAGCTGAAGAACGAGGAAAAGTTTATGATAGTCGCGGGCAGACATACTTGTTTGATCTTGATTTCAATGATGGAGAATGCCTTTACACTCTTGATGCCAAAAAATATGGCAACATATCGCACTTTATAAATCATTCGGTAAGTGGGAAATGTGCAGAGAGGTGCATAGGTTAACTGATCACATTTCAATTATACTATTAGTAATGTACATGAAAGAACTATGCACTTCTGATTGGCTGAAAAGAAGTGGATACTCATTTGACACATGCAAAGTTGTAACATGAGTGCAAACAACAAATACTGTGCTCATGCTTTCAAAATTTGGTCTGTCTTGACTGTGTGATGTTCTTTCATGTACATTATCAACAAGTAACCACATGATTTCTCTTGCAATTTGGTGCAACAAGCACTTGTAAATTACTACAAATTTCACTTGCCCCACAGGCTCATGCAATTTTGTTATCTTTGAAAAAATTCACAAGTGCTTATTAACACCAAATTACACTTGAAATCATGTTATTCCCTACACAAAAGAGGACTGCATCCTTGTGCAGGTGGCAATGTTATCCTTCAAAGAAATGACTACCAGCAACAGATCCATTCAGAAAGGCAGTTTATGCTAATCTAGGGTTTTAAAATGAAACCTTTCCACTGAAGTCTCATGGCTAAAAGTACATTTCAGCACAGTGTACTATGGGGTGTTATCTTAGGGTAAGGCAGAACTGATGAAAATAATATAAAAACATTATATATTGGTGTATGGTGAATTTGCTTCATTGCAATATCCCCTCCTCAGTAGCTTAAGCTAAAAGAATATTTTCATATATTTGTCCTCAGTGTGATCCCAATCTTGATGTCTATGCTGTCTGGGTTGACACCCTCGACCCTAACTTTCCACGCATTGCACTGTTTGCAAACCGCAATATTGAAGTAGGAGAGGAGTTGACCTTTGACTACCAGATGTCATTGGATACAGGAAGCAGTTGTTCCTCACCAAGGAAAAAGGAACACTTAAAGTGCCGCTGTGGTGCAGAAAAATGTAGAACATTTTTATTTTAAAGAATTTTTCAAATTCACACACTCTTCTGTATATGCAGTTTTAAACCACCAAATAGAAAATATATGTAACTGTCACAAAAGTTAACCAATTAGGAGAGCATGGAGACATCTTGAAACAGAATTTGCAAGGTTAGATATTTTAGCTTAAACCAGTGCACCGCCTCTCTGATGTCATAGTGTTTAACACTGTGATACTTGTTCAGATTCATGTACCAATGGCATGTACACTCTAAATAACCTTTGGTGCTATGTCAATAAATTACTTATTTATTGCAACTCTTTGGTTTTATGGAGTGACTTCTTTTTTTACACATTAATTTAGTGTCACTGCCAAGAAAGCAGTCGAATTGTACCCTCCCATATTGGTATATGATATAAAGTACCCCACGCAAATTATCCGATTCAAATTGATGTTAGAATTGTTACTAGTTTTGAAGGTGCTTTTGATGAGAATGTCTGGTGTTTAAAATATTTCATTAGCTTGCATATGCTGAATTACTTTTAATGGGGATAGCTTAAACACTGTCAAAACCGTTTAAAAGACCTGTTAGCTCAGCCCACTCAAAACGCTCCCCAAGCTCCTGCTTTGCGAAGACGACCATTTTGCATTGAAAAAGAGTAAGCCTTCTGGCTAACCTGGGAAACAATTTTGGCCTGACTGCCAATCACGACAAACAGCCTGCTACAGAAATGGGCATAGAGGACCTTTCCCGAGAAGCCCCTTTTTATCAATCAATAAACTTCAATTAATCCAATAATCCAATTCCACCCCCCGCCCTTCCCACTTATGCTGGAGGTTTGGACACAGCTGCTAGCAACCTACCTTTTAACGGGGCAGTTCCTGGCAGTGCCTGGGTATCACCCTTAAACTCAAACTCTGACTGTTAAGCGTATTGCACCCATTCCTTGCGCCTACATTTCATATAGCACCCTCCAGGCACATGTTCCTTGCTCACTGACTGAGATGTGGCAGGGCTTGAGCCTGACTGCAAATCATGCAAGACGGAGGGCAATGCCTGACCTCCAGCAAAAAACCTAGTGGGCAAGTTTTTGCAAATCCTGAAAGAATCAGCTTCCTGGAGAGAAACTCTTACTTCCTGTAAGAGGTCTATTAACACTAGTGATATGATGAAGCTTCCAGCCTAAGCAGCTTACTGCACTTCACATTGATCTGGCAACGCCCTTGTTATTATAATCGGTAGATGTCTGTAACTAGTGAGGGTGAATTGATGGCCCTCTTGTCTAAGTGTCCTTTTCCATAGACCCCCCTTGGGGTCTTAGATTGAAGTTGTTGATTCCTCGCGTTCTTCTTTCACAGTTGAACCCCGCTAACTTGAACTCAGTGAACTCCAACCCTTTCCTTGACCCCACTTTTTCTCGGTAACTCGAATAAGATCGGATCAGAAAAAGGTGTTTTCCGTCTAGTCACGGGAGTGGGACGGAAAAAAATTGAGTTCCCAAAAAACTGAGTTCCCATGAGAAAACGAACCCCACGACCTTCGGATTCCGTGCTCCGATGCTCTACCACTGAGCCACAGGGAATTTACGGTGAACGAGGTCTATTACGAAGTTCATGTGACACGCGTCCTGCATACTGCCATGATCAGCAATGTCTTCTTTGAATATGAAAGTGACTTTCGCAGTAATGAACACTACTTGAGCAGTAGTGAAAATAAGGCCTGAAAAAAAAATTCAGGCCCGTACGGGATTTGAACCCGTGACCTCTGCGATACCAGTATCGCAGAGGTCATGGGTTCATAGGTTCAAATCCCGTATAGGCCTGAACTTTTTTCAGGCCTTATTTTCACTACTGCTCAAGTAGTGTTCATTACTACGAAGATGGCTTTCATATTTACGTCTTTATCCGTAGTTCAAATATATGACTTTCATATATTCACAGTCGTTTAATGTCCCGTTTATTCTACGCTCGTGACAAGAAGAAAAACATCTTTCTCTATTTCTTTACCTAACACAACAAGGAAAAGAAATGAAGGCAAATGGAAACGCATATAGGAATACAATAGAAACGCGAAGGACGCGCAGGAAGCGCAGACGACACGCCAAGGGGATGCACAAGGACACGTACGGTGGCGAAAAAACAAAGCAAAGGTAACACTACTATCCGATTTTAGAAACTTAGCCGATCATGGACGATAGTTTCCGATTTTGGACACTAGTGTCCATTAGAGATATTATTTTTTTACATTTTGGACCCTAGTTTACAATTGGTCACGTAAAACGCTAGTGTCCGGTTTTAATTGGACACGTGTCCAATTTCAGACACTAGTGTCCGATTTTGGACAATAATGTCCGTATTTAGATACTAGTGTCCGATTTTAGACACGAAGTGTCCGATTTTGGACACCAGTGTCCAATTTCAGTCACTCGTGCCCAGTTTTTGTCACAAGTGTCCGATTTCGGACAATAATGTCCGTATTTAGACACTGGTGCCCAATTTTAGTCATTGTTTTCCGATACCAGTGTCCGATTTTGGACACTAGTGTCTAATTTGAGACCATAGTGTCCAATTTTAGACCAAGCGTGGAATGCCCGCTGAATTCAAAAGTTTTTTTGAGTTGAAATCTTCCCCCTTGTTTTAAATCCAGAAATATATAATACATCTATTACTAAACTCGTTTTCTCGGTCTGTGCTGTAAGTTACAGAACCTCGTTTTCTCTGCTCGTTCCATAACTTACAGTATGGATTTTTCACTCGGTTAGTATGAGGTATGTTTTTTTTCTTGAGATTATGATCTCGTGGTTTAACCTTGAAAAAAAAAATTCCCTTTTTACAAATTTTTTAGACTTCCAACTAATTTCTCATACTTTTACAGGTTTGCAAATTGGGTGGCAGCTCCATCCTTTTCAAGAATTTTAAAATTATGGATGATTCCTGTCACTAATTAATAACTCTTCATCGAAGTGGTGGTGGTCATTGGTGGATATTGATCCATCGACACTGAGGTAAATGGCTGTTTTAGTTAATACTAAAACAGTGAGATGATAAAGCTTTATAAGATGCTTTAATTCATTTATTCCTGCAGCGATTATTATTTTCGGGCGCAAATCCCGCGCGAGTTATTGGGAGGTCAGTAGCAAAGAACATCCAGAGTTAAGGCAGCCAATCAGAGCGCGCCTTTAATGCCATTCACTGTTTTGGTATATACTACATAGACCATTTCCGAACTACCTTTGGCCTCGTTTTCAAAGCGAGTCCTGATGCGCATCCTTTCATATGATTGTAAGTTTTCAATCATATGCAAATTAATTCATTTTCATACGGATGGCTGAGCACCAAGCCTCGTTTTGAAAAGGAGGCCAATTGGCCTATTACGATAGCGTACAGACCATTACAAAAAGGGATACAGCATTTGCGTACAAAATATTCTTTATTTGCAGATTACTTCTCATATTTTTTTCCGCCTTTTCATATATAGCCTTACAGGCGCGTGAACCTTTCTTTATAAAATTAAAATTTTATTTACAACCAAGTACAAATCTTTCTACAATACAGTACAATAATAAAAAAAAAATTAAGCTAACAACTATCCTATATTTTCCGTTGATTCGCCTTGGTTTTAAATACAGTGCTACAAAAATATCTTCCCACAAAGTGTTACACTTTTTATCAGAAATGTAAACATCGGGTTTTTAAAAGAAAAAGACTGGAAGACATAAGAGCTTTCCTCGTCTCGCTAGTTTCAAACTTTGCACAGCCTTGGGGTTACATAGCCAAACTTTCGGTTCTTTAGAAAATATTTCCCAGCATTCGTTTGGAAATTGATATTTTAGAAGAATCCGAAACAAACCACAAAAATGTATAATTTCAGTGCAAAATTGGAATTCTCCCCGGCAATGGACTTTCAATTAAGTCTTCAATATCAGTTAGGAGAATTTGGAAGCAAATTATGGAGGATACTGACAAAAAAAACTGTCAACCGAGCTTCAATTTTTGCATCCTATTATCTCTACGGGAAATCTTCTGTCGGGAAACACAAGATAGAACTTCAAACATAAGAGCTTAAAAATTCTATCACAAACAAACGAATAAATAAAAAAAAACAAAAAGAGCATTGAAAGACAACCAAGGTATGTGTTCTTCATGATGCAAACGTTTATAAAAAATAATTTGAAAGCTATTTCTTGTAAGTGGTGGTCTTGACTTCTACTAGTACAACTAATTTCAAAATTTGTATTCACTTCGAAATGTCTCTATTCCTCAAAAATCGTTTCAACTAAATTTCTTTGAATGATCAGAACTTAACAAAAGTGGACAAAAATGTTCAAGATAATTTAAAATGATACACAATTTTATGATAAAAAAAATCGAAGGATAACTATCGATGCATGGCGTATACATATAAACTTCTATAATCATATTTTGAAAATTGCCCCCTCGGGCGTAAAAGGAAAATTGAGCTCTACATCATTTTCAATCCTTGGCACATTTGCAGAAAGAAATTTCTCTATTCTACAAAGAAATTTTAAACATTCTTCAGCATTCGATTCCAAGTAGCGAGTTAAAAGCTGCGCACAAAAACAATTATCATATCCAATACAGCGAAATATTACAATAAATATATTCATATTAATTCTACAAGGATCCTGCCTCTTGCTTTCAAGTAACTAATTCTATTTTGTTTCTTCTTTCTAACACTGACTCGGCAATCTTTGTCCTTCCATTACCACAGATGAAAGGGACAGTAAAATTAAAAAAAGATAGCCAAGCGCTATTTTCAACATATCAAAAACAGAGCCATTACCTGTGTCAATTGTATCTAAGATTATTTTACACTTTGCTGATGTCGATCCTTTAAAATGTCATCGTAACCATACTTAGTCCAAATGGCGGACAATTCAGGAGGTGTTTCCAGATAAAATCTTTTGCCTAGAAGCCCTCTCGATAGTACTGGCATATTTGTAACATTTCCAGCCATTAGCACGACAGCAAAGAGAGCACGTGCTGTTGTAGCATCTCTTGGCAACGGATGAAATTTCACGTTTTTGAAAACTTGCCGGCTTCCGCGGCGCGTCAAAGATCGGTAATAATTATGGGAACGTCTGGCTCGCTCGACCAACGATGCGAGACGCGAGGAGATTTCCTAATAGTGTCCATAATTTTCTCCTCGCTAATTTCTTCATCTTCTGTATGGGACTCATGATCGCTACTCTGCGCAAGCATCCGCTCTGCGGCTTGGTTCAGGTCATCTTCGGACACGTCGAAAGCTTCAGCAATTTCCTGTTCGGCGACTCGAAGAAGTGGATCGTCCAGAGTAATAGAGACACCTTCGTCGACAAACGCACTCTCTAAAAGGTCTTTGATGCTTGCTGACCTGTTTCGCCGAAGGTCACTTCCCAGGTAGGCAACTTCTCCCGTAGCTAGCCACGGTGGTATGACCTCACTCTTACTCCGCTGTCTTACATAAGGAATTCGGTCACGTGACTCATCATCTACCGGACTTAACGGCAGGCTTAATGCTGCCTTCAAACCTGCGTGGCCTTTTATGGCAGTGAAAGAGCCCGTATCATCCGGGTCTCGTAAAGGAAGTTCAAAGCGAGGTTGGTCAGCCTCTTTTTCGTTTGCGTTATCATCCGCCGATGTGCCAGCAGTCGGCATAAGGTATTTTTGATCACTGAACATAGTCGTAGCCTATGACAAAATAATGAGACATCTAAGAAATAAGCTTTCCATCCGTGACTAAGTTCATCAGTCTGAAAGCTTTTAAGGGGCAGGTTTCTAAGGAAACTGTGTTGCTGCGTCGGTGGGGGTATTTCAAGATACTTAAGTTTTATCGTCTGAGTTGACGATGTAAATTGGCCATCGCAAAGTTTCTCTAAAACTGACGTTTCAAGCGTGAGCCCTTCATCAAAGAGATTAGGATTCTATTCAGTCGGTCCGTCCATACGTTCGTACAACATTTCCGCCAGTCAGTGAGCCGATGGGCTTGGTAACCAATCAATCACTCTATCGACCCATCAATCAATTAATTAATCAATCAATCAAACAAACTAATCAATAACTCAATATGAATCAATTGTTCAACTAATCGATCAGACAAACAAACACAAGCTAAAGCCAAATGAACAACAAAGGCAAAAAGAAATATTGAACGTCTTTTTGTGACTTGTTTTATACAAAATTATCGCTATTGAATACCACTTTTTAACGAATCGAACCGCACGTGGTACCACAATTATTTCTTAGATCACTTGACATACCATTTTTTCACTCAAGTTAGACATAGATGAACTCTTTTTCTTTGTCTCTAATCCACTTCCATTTTTGCCCAGAAAAGCTGACAAGCGAAAAGATGCGGGACGACGAAAACTGGAAGAAAAAATTCAAATTCAGAGGTAAAACACACTATTGCTGACACTGCAAAAGTGCTGTCTTTTTTGCGCTACGACATATTCGAATGATATTGCAGGTGCTTATACCATTGGTTAGAACTGTCTGTGTCCTGGTCATTTATAAAGGGATTAAATCTAAATAACGGTAGTTTATTATAGAAAATAGCCTTAGCTATATGAAGTGACAAAGAGATCTTCAGATGACAGAATTGCGCGATTGTCTAACAAATGGTTTTCAAAACGTAACGAGGACAAATTCTCCTACTTACGCTACATGAGAAGCGACAAGACTGCTACAGCTGTAAATCGTTACGCAATTTTATTGCGTGAGTTTTCATTTAATATAACTGGTATGTTTATGTTACCTGTGACGCGGCGATACTGAAACTGCATTTTTCAGACTCTCCCAGAACCCCTTATGCTAAAAAATCAATCAAAAGAAAGTGTCACTGACGGAAACAAGAATAACTGATTTCATTACAGTTGAAAAACGAAATTATTAATTGTCGTTTTATTACCTGCGCCTTTTGGGAATCGTCTTCCTTTAAGAACAACTCATCGTCGTCACTTCCAAGCGGACCGGAAATAGCTCGACGCAACTGTGGTCCGAGGCCGTGAAGCGTTCGTAGTCCCGCCTGGAAAGTGTAAGTCATAATGGAGTGGGTGGATGAGTGAGTAAATTTTAGGTCATTACCTAAACCTCATTGCAAGATTACGTCACACCATGAGGTAAAAAATGATACAAAGCACTTGGTTCGTCCCAGAACCACAAATAATCATAACAACAAATTCGTACCTGTAGAGCCATTGTACTATTTCCATGGGGTTCGTTGGCTTGATTCTGTGCCTTCTGCCTCGCTTTGAACCGACGGAAGTACTCTTGAATCAAGTATGTGGCATAAAATTTACCCACTGTGACGTCATCACCTGCAAACAACAGACAACCAGAGAAAAAAATTTGTAGTAAATGACTCTTCTCATTGGTTAAAGACTGAGCCTCTTATCTATGTGGGGGTAAAGATAACGTTAAGAATCATAATATGCGATTCGTGACAACGGAGTATAAAACTTTCCTTTACTTGAAAATAGCGTGCCACTGTAAACAAATTATGCAATGATAAAAATGAGCCAGAAATGCGGAATGGAGGTGAAGGATGGAAAAGATTAATATATGTACGGATTGCAGATGACCGTAATTTTTCTTCAAAAATTAAGCAAACCATCGTGTAGCTCTCTGAAGCATTCGAAATGTTTCTAGTAACTCAGCCTGCTTTAGAAGGCTTGCTTGTTCGGAGTACATTGCAGTTTAACGAAAACTTCTCACACCATCACATGCCACAGAAGATATTTCTAATTGGCTATTCATGCATTGAAAATGTTTATGCTGAAAAGATAAGCGACCACATCTTCGATCATCAGACTGTGAGCTAACAATTTAAGACGTAAACAAAGTTGCTACTTACGCACTCCGGGAGGCTGCACTACTTTATCTAAAAGTTCCATGGACGTTTTAGGCCAGATCCGAAGAATTATATTACGGACTTCTTCGTTGGCCTTGTCTATTGATCCTTTCCCTACAGAACATAAGCAAGAAAAATGGTTGAAGCGACAACACGCAGCCCCTCATGCGATACGACTACTTCTTGTTACATGCAATAGAAGGAAACTCATTTTCCAAAGTAATTAGCGAAAAACATAGATGTGGATCAAAGTCAGTAGCTAAGCAACTGCGCAACTACCCCACCCCCTCCCCTCCCCTAACCAACAGTAACCCCAACTTGTTGACAGTTGACTGCTGTTGGGTCAGGGGAGGGGTGGGTAACCTTAGTAAACGCGCTCCCTTTCCCTGTCCTTATTTGCGATTCTTCTTAACAAGAGCACCGACTGAGAAACGTGAAAAAATATATTGTACTGTTCGATGTCGTACCTTCAGGTCTTTTTATGTTTAAGGATGATCGGATAAGTCCAAACAGTGTCGCATTGAAGTCTACCATTCCGTCTTTGGTCAGCGGCATGTTCATAGTTACCAGGCGCTGTACAAAAAAAATGAACAAATGTTCTCATGACTTGATGTCAAAATGGTGTTTTAACTTTTAAACCACTGTGATTTACTTCGGGTTTTGGATTCACAACAATTAAAAGAAAAACGCTGGATTCACTATTTGGAGTAGTATCTACCTTGCAAGCTTCTCTGTGAGGACAAAACTTTCCAAATCCCAGAGGAGGGGCGATTCGCTTTAGAACAGTTACTATATCCACGTGCTTTACACAACCATGCGCATCCGGATCATACTCGGACCAGACCCTCACGTACTCGTCCAAATGGTGGGGACCAAGAATTGACCAATCGCGAGTTAAGTAGTCAAAGTTGTCCATGATGACGGCAACGAACAAGTTGATTATCTACAACGAAGTGAAATGGATGAAAATGTGGTGGGCTGCACACGAATAACTTTAAATAATCCCGATATCCATACAGGTGCTTTTTCGTAGAAATGAAAGGCCGGCTGAGAACAGTCCACAAAGAAGCACATATCATGAATACGACCCTTCCATATTTTTACCTCATATGCTACACACAGCTGACTAAAACAGAAAGTGTCGAGAGAAATGACTACTGGAAATGGCGGAAATTATACACGTCACGCTTCTCCCAATTTGAAGCAATCTTTGCTTTGTAAGTACAAAGGACCGGGAGAAAATAGGCCAGAACCCCTTTAATTGGATAGACCCACAGAAATCATTATTCACAAACCAGGCACTTTTTTCCATTTATCCCAAAATTTCAGCCATTCTTACCAAGAACGAACAGATGGAATAAAAAGAAACAAAGTAGAAATAGGCAAAGTCTGAGCCACATAATCCCGACGGGTCCTGCGGGTCGGCCTTCGCGTCACACTTAACGTCATCTCGATGCGTACACGCCAACATTATCTGTTGCCAATTTTCACCCGTTGCGGACCTACGGATAAAAATGTAAAGTAGAGTGAGCACTGAACCCTGTGATAGCTTTGTAGCGGTGCACAAATCACAAAAGAGAGACAGTGAGCGTTCCCTTTACCTGAAGAGCACCATAAGAGACTGTGGGAATGTCTGGAAGTTGTTGTTTCTGTTGATCGCCGTGTCGGAGTCGATAGCAATACGACCAAACATCTGAAAGAGAATAAATGGATATAAAGCAGCTATCATCATTTTTTAAAAATTTACTTAATTGCACTTCGTGAAAAGAGGTTTGCTCTCCTTTGGAGGTACACTTGTTGCATTATTAGGTTAGACGGTCGTGGCTGCATTTTGGGCATTGTACGAGAGGGACAGGGAGAAAAATCTCGGCAATGGAGCAAAGAAAAGTTTAATGAAGCTTTAATATATCAACACTCAATCACAAGTCACTCTCTTTGAAAACTGCCATCATACCTGCATCCCAATCACAGCATAGATGAAGAACATCATGACAATGAGAAGAGCCACATAAGGAAGAGCCTAGAAAAAAACAACAGAAAATAAGAATTAATTTATAGTGGGTAACTGTCAGGAATTAAGAAGGATACGGGAAGGGGGAGGGGGGAAGCTGACAACGACTTCCACAGAAGGGACATTATCGGAAGAGCTCACCTGAAATGACTTGATAAAGGTCCAGAGGAGAGTCTTGATCCCAGATCCTTGGTTGAGCAGCTTGACGAGACGCAGGGCTCGAAACAAACGGAAGAAACCAAAAGCAAACATTTGCTCACTCTGAAGAGGAAGAAAATAATAATAATAATAATAATAATAATAATAATAATAAAAAATAGACGAGCCACATGCTTCATCAAAAAACAATTCTCCCAGGCGCGGATCATTTTACGAATATGTATTACGTTGATTTTTTGATGAGCACTTATCAATTTTAAGCTTGATCCTTCAAGTGAAAGTTTTTAATCCGTGAGTACACAATATTCATTGCTTGAAGTTTACTTAAAACAGGATGATAATGGAAGTAGTTTAACTGTGAAGCTTAGTCACAACCCTTTCACAGCTTCTGTTGAATGTTTTGAGCAACCATTCAACGACTTAAAATCATCTGTAGATACAGGTTACGCGCTTTAACACGCTTCAGCCTTCTTATACGCAGAAATGGTTACCCATTAGAACGTCAGGGAAAAAAATTTAGAACACTTTGCGTGCGGTTAACCGCCCATTATGCATCCTTCAGTTTCTTTTTAATCCGTTTGACAGATACACATTAACGAATGTTTCTTCCTGTACGATTTTAAGCGCTCTACAATTTTACACTTTATTGACAAACCTGTTTCAGAATCTTAAGACTGTATTTCATTCTTCATTCTTTATATGGTACATAGGTTTATCATCAGCGCTTAAAAAATTATCAATATTTTATTTAAAGTAATGGTTAGCTAACTCGCAATCAGTTGCGGCCAGCGTTTTGGTCTTGAAACTGAGGCGCTATTTACATTGTCACGGGTATCCGAGAAACCTCTCCCTCCCTCGAGACAACTTTACGAAGCGCTTTCATGGAGTTGTGAGTTGCAACAGCTTTCCCCTCGATCACCAGTCTCTCTCGTGACGGCAAGAAAGGCTACATGTTCGTCAAAATTTAAGCCGTTTCATCTCTGGCGGGCAAGCCGAAATGTTTTTATGAAAAAATAGTTGTCCCGCCTGATAGGGCAACCCTAACTGTGGAGGCGAGACAACTCTCCCCCTGAACAGTTCGCAATTTTCATGGTAACAGTTTGTTAAATTTTTCATAAAAGTTCAGTCACGGTAACTCTTAGAGATGGTTGTCTCGGGTACTTCAGACCATATAAATGGGCCCGACGAGTTTTAAATGTTAAGTTAGGTTTGTTTATCGTCTTACAATTCTCTGAATACGCCCGTCGGAGCCACTATCCATTGCTAACTCCAGCTCCGAAATACCTCGATGTCTTCTGAAAACATCCTAGAAGAAGTAAAGTGTCTTTATGCTTTTAAATGATTTAGTTGTTAGGATCCCTAGTGTGGGCATTTATCACGAGCTTAAGGAAAAAGTGAAAGTATAAACCGATTCACTTGCTAATAAAGTAAACCTTTTACGGATTTATGGAGAACTGTTAAAAATATGTCGTATTATAGGCACTGGTTTGATCATGTTTTATTGAAGGGGAGGAGAACAAACCTCCAAGCAACGCTTCTTTTAAGTAACAACTAAAAATTAATGGTGAAACTATTGAACATGTATCATTAAACTACGGAATAGTCAGTATTTTTGCGCAGGTAATACGTAGGAACTCTTGTTTTGCATGAAGGGACTGTGCGAGAGGTAAAACGAATTGAGTGAGACTGGGGAGACTTGGTATTTTGCAATCTATAATTTACCGAATCGTCTTGGATGTAAAAACTAGTAGCAGCTTTAATTTTAATTTGAATACTGATAGTGTCAGTCATGTTACCTCATATTTAGAGGGGTCGATCTAGAAAACCATCTAAATGCCTAACAAGCGGTTGCTAACTTGAAGTGCGAGTACCATGCGCGGGAGAGGGCAGAAACGCGCGCGTGAGAGGGCAGAAACGCGCGCGTGATAGGGCAGAAACGCGCGCGTGATAGGGCAGAAACGCGCGCGTGATAGGGCAGAAACGCGCGCGTGAAAGGTTCCCTCTTGCTGTCATGCGTGTGCCGATCTAGATCACTTAGCTCGTAGGCAAGTTACTTCATTTATTTAACTCATAAGACTAGCCATCGGATTTCTAGGTGAATGTACTTACCGAAACCTCATTCATTGTGATATCAATAATACTGCCAACCACAATGATAAAATCAAAAAGATTCCATCTGTCCATGAAATAATTCTGGATGAAAACAAGAGTCAGTGTAAAACATTTGGACTGAGGAATAAAAGTTCAGATTAAAACTTCTGCCTCGAGGGTTGAGACCTTTTCCTTCGTTTGATCAATGGAACTGAATCCTAGCCACGACTGATACTATTGATGCAATTTTCAACAGAGACTCACTATCCGTAACAACTGTTTGGCGGCAGAACAGATGGGGAGTTTTGCTGGGAGTCTGGCACTAACAGTGATTCATCAAATAATTTTTTAGTGCCAGACTCCTCGCACACCTCTCGTTTATTCTCGTGGTTCAAGGCCACATACTTTCCCGCGAGCGAAGAAACGTGCGTGCCAAAGCGGTAGTAATGAGAACCTGCCCTTATGTTAGAGACTGCAAAGTGTTACGACTCAGCAGAGGGGAAAACATTACGTGATGGGTTACTTAAAGCTCTCATGAAACGCTTCCCTACGCCACACAGAACGTTACGTAGCAATTGATTAGAACTATCAAAAAACAGCTTCTTCACATTGGGTACAACTCTTCGAGACGTATCAAACGAAACAATCTCGATCATTAATGCATGACGCTCGCAAGAGGGTTCTTATGAGGACTACAGACAACATAATATGTTTGTCTAACCTTTGGTTTAAACGCGATGAGCTTCAGTATACACTCCAAGAGAAAAACTGCTGTAAAACCAATGTTGAAACCGTCCAACACTCTTGTGTAAAGTTTAGGTTCTTGATAATACTAGTACAAGGAAACACAAAAGAAGTAACTTCTAGTAAGACATATGAATGTTCTTTGCAGTCCAAAGAGCGGGTAGGAATTTGGGTCAAAATCTGCAAACTTAGTACTCTGGACTATGAAAAAAAAACATGCAAAAGCAAAAAACAACACAAGATGCAGAAAAATAACGAAAGCTTGTGATATTCTGAAAGAGGGACACAGTCAAAAGGATATTTTTGGTTGAAGCCCAAACTAATAATAACAGCGTATCACAGGCCAGGCGGAGATTTCTTACGAACCACAATCCCCTTATTACAAAATGCCCCTATTTTCAAAGTAGGATCTCTCTCTTCAGACAGCTTAGGCGATGATGTGCGAGACTTCCCAAAGGAGTAACGCAATTCTATGAAAGTTGGACATACCTGCATCATCAGAACAACTGTGTTGCACACAATGAACGCGAAGATGAGGTATTCAAAGGCTTGTGACGTAACCACGCGCCATATATGGAACTGAAGGCGATTCTCAGGAATGTAACGTTTCAGCGGTTTCGCTCTCAGTGCAAATTCTATACACTGACGCTGAGAAAAGAAAAAATAACAACATTGCTCGTTACATCGAAGGAATTAAGCCATAACGTAATATCTCGGTGATCAAAATAGCGTGGTTGGGTTTCGAAGCGGATTTCATCATTGATTTTTAGGGAAGAGGCTTTTGTTTTTCTTTTTCATGCAGCTCTTGGCGCAGGAAAACGCGTTCGATAAATTCGCATATGGTTTCAAACGTATTCCACTCGATTAGTCGAGATTACGGGCGTTAAATTTCTTTCAACTTACCAAAGACTGGCTAAAAACAACACACAGTCATTCGAGGAAACTTACGATCTGAGGGTCAATAACAGGGGAAAACGTCTGTGATGAAATTATTACTCGTAGAGCAATTTTCAACGCTGGTTTTGCTTTACTTTGCTCTGTGATTGGTCCAGAAAACTCGCACCACTCTCTCTGAGCCAATCAGATGTAAAACTGAAAACAATCGTGAATTGGTCAATCGAGTTTTCCCGCACTTCGAGCGTTTTGCTTGTTTTCAGTTTGGTTCTCATTGGCTGATGATAATGTAAACCTTTATTATGATTGGTGGCTGGGATAACTTAGGTTTGGGTTTTTCGACATTTAATTGAAAGCTGCTTTTCACGAATGATTTAAAGTCGCGTCATTACGACTCCCATACTGCTACCCTTAGTAAAACCACGACTCCGATGATTATTCGTAGCAATTTACGTAATTCAGCATTTCGCTACTAGTGGTTCGTTTTGGTGCGTAGTCGCCGTGACACCAAAATACATTGCGGCTTAAGGTCTTAGTCGCGTATTATTTGCATCTCACCTGATTCTTGTCCAGTTCACAACCTTTAAACTCCTCTTCTCCTTCGCTCTGAAAAGTGACGATCACAAAACCAACGAAGATGTTGACCATAAAGAAGGCAATGATGATGATGTAGATAATGTAGTAGATGGCTACCCACGGCCGGTTGTTCTGGTTGGGACCCTTGTCGACTTCAGTGGAGTCGATGGAATTCTCCAAAATCCTATCGAGAAGAGAAAACAAAAAATTTAGGAAACTTTAGGCAAATTTGAGGCAGTAGATTGATTGCAGATTTTGAGTCCACTATATCCATGATTAATCTAAAGGCATAAATAGGCGGATTGAAGAACAGAAAAATGAAGTTTTGCGCCAGTAACCGCCCCCCGGGTATCTTAAAGGAGCTCTGTAGCTGTTAAGCCCAACTTTGAAAAGTTCTTTGTGAGCGATTCCTTGTTCACCTTTTCCACCTTTTTCTATCCTTGCTCCTTTTTGCTTCAATCTTATTTGTTAAACGCTTTTCTTTTCTAAGAAAACATCGATGTTCAATCAGGGTAATTTAGTATTATCAACGAGTTTCAAAGCTGACGTTTCGAGCGTTAGCCCTTCGTCAGAGCGAACGAAATGGAAAAACCGAACCGCTGTTCAATCGTCTTATATCGATGAAAAAAGTTCTCTTTACACCCTAACATCAATATGCATATTTCCCATACTGTTCTTCATGCAATTCCTATTGTACTAAAACCGAGAGTTTGTTGAAAAGTGTTCCACTCCACCCATTAGCGAAGGAGAGGAGGAATTTAAAGGTTGTGAACTGGACAAGAATCACGTGAGATGCAAATGATACGTGACTAAGACCTTAACCCGCATTAAACAATCGTCGTCCCATTTTCTCTTTAAATGTGTCAATTTGAATCATTCGCTACGATTTAACGCATTATGCATGCTCACTAACCCTGGCCATCCTTCGAAGGTCATCACAGTGAACAGTGTCAACATGGCTTCACCAACATTGTCAAAGTTAAAGTGGTGTTTCTTCCATTCTCTGTGTTTCATCTGTCGAGCAAGAGTTGATTAGTTGTTATTAAAAATTTACCCTAACTGTTAATCTAGCAATGTCGTTTTACATGAAACTGATAGTTTTAAAAGTGACGCCAGTGCTGTAATGCAAGTGGCCTCAGTATCGTAATATATATAGTGTTAGTGGTGTTTAAAAAAAGTATCAGTGCAAATAGTCTTGGTAATAATGATTTCGAGTGCAATTTGGTGTTAATTAGAACGTGTGAATTTTTCAAAGACATCAAAACTGCAGGAGCCCGTAGGGCCACAGAGAGCATCGGAGCGCGGAACCCGAAGGTCTGAGGTTCGATTCCTCATGAAGACTCAGAATTTGTCTTCGTCCCACGCTCGTGACAAGAGGAACAACATTTTCCTCTATATCTTTACCGAGCTTAAAACTTACCATTTTTTTTATTCAAGTAGTAAACAAGTCAAGAATTTTAAAAAGGTTAGTAACTCTCTGTGGCTAAACGTGACAAAAATTTATATAAATTCCAGTATGAATTGTGCATTGGAGGACAACTGAAGAAAGAAAACTGAGGGAAAAAGGCTGGAAATGGGGGACAGCTTGACAGACTGGCAACCGAAAAAGATAATCGGTGTTCTCTGGCCGAGGCCCTGTGTGCAAAGACGCACGAAGAATACTAGCTAGGCATTGTACAAATTTCTTATATAACGAGATTACCATTCGGGTCACGACTGGGTAATCATGGATCTTCTACAAAAATCTATCAACACATAGGAACTCACCTCTGGGTTTGACAATCCAGGTCCTTTAAAATCATTAAAGGTTCCCCTGAAAGAAATTAAATCACATTAGTTTGTATCGACCAACTAACCCTAACCCTATGCAAAAATAATTTGATGAAATGCTTTCGAGAATTTCTCTAACGGAGATCGAAAAACGCAGATTTAAAATGCAAGCTGCTGACTACTTCTCATAAAACATCCTTAAACGCAGTCATCGTGTGAATCTGAATCATATCCTACATAACTATAGTTATTCTTTAAGCTCCTCTATTAACTTAAAATCTTCCCGTAAAGAAATAAAAGCAAAGATAATTCCATCGATCGGCAAATGAAAAATCGTTCGCGCCCAAGAATGAGTCCCTCGTGCTCATCTCTAGAGAGAATAGAAAACTATTTTTAGAGGACTTACTGGCAATCTTCTGCAGTTAGCATCTTCTCATCAGTGCAATAAAAGAAAGTCCCCTTTCAAATGAATGGAAAAAATAATTAATTATAAATAGTCACAACAAAACCTAACAGAATAAGTAGATACGTGATATTCCCATAACCCCCCCCCCCCCAACGTCGGATTAAACATTGCCCCCCCCCCTCCCCTCACCCATGGAATTGAAATATGCGGAGGGGCACCCAGCCTGAAGTTGTTTTACATTTTATCACCAACCCCGACTAAAATTACTTACTGGCCCCCCTCCCCCCGCACCTTCCAGCTTCCTCTTCAAATATCGGTTTTGCAGAGTTTGGTAGTACCCTAAGATCTTACCTTAAATAGCTGAACACCGATGACAGCAAATAAAAACTGGAAAAGCATGGTAACAAGCATGATGTTTCCTATCGTTTTCACGGCGACAAAGACACACTGTACCACGTGCTGCAGGAAACAAAAAACACAAAACACAAAACAATTTAACATTTTTCAACTTCTGAGGTCTGATTTTTAATTTTCCCGTCTCGCTGCAATATATTTCTATATGAATTAGTTCAGATAACTAGCTCTTATGGAGTAATTTTCAAATGGGTGTCGTTAATAATTCTTGGTTGATTTAGTTTGCTTTACTACGCTAGACGATTGGTCCAGAAAACTCACACCACTTCCTCAACCAATCAGATTCAATCAGCAAGGTGACAGTCACGTACACAATCGTATTTGTTGAAGTCAGTCAACGGGAGGCGTACCTTGAGTCCTTTTGCTCTGTTAATCGCCCTCAAAGGTCTTAACACTCGGAGAACCCTGAGAATTCTGACAACAGAAAACTGGGAGTCCCTGAGGAAAATCATTGAACACAGAAGTGAGTATACCATCTTACTAACTGTATAGGCGTCTTGTTCGCGGGTTAACAATGAAAAATTTCCTTTGGTTCACCCAACCGCTCAATCAAACTCGTCGACGACTATTTCACAGATCATGACTGTCTACATCTCTAGAAAAACGCTGCTTAAAAAAGCAATCCCACGGAGTAAGCGTATTTAATACTTAATACTTAAGTACCTCATGGGTGATTTCTACCCTCGAAACCTATACTCCAAAGTCTACCTTTCAATTAATGATAATCAGCACTCAAGCGATCCCACTACATTATGATCTTAAGCTGATGACCGGGGCTAAATCAAAATAAGATGTTTACCAACACTTACTTAAGGCTTATTGAGATTACAGAAACAGATACGACTAGTAAATCCAATAGATTGAACGCACTGCGGCAGAAAGATCCCTTGTGAAGGATAAGTCCATAGGACACAAACTGAAAGAAGGAAAAAATGAAACCCCACCTTTGGTTAAAAATTTTATTCTCGACATGAAAATTTCCTCCCGTTTGGTCCATTTTTAAGAAACTCTGATAATCTGGACTTAAACACTATTTCAGGACAAACAAAAACTACGCGACTTTACAACGCGGATAATGTATCAAAATGACCTTTGGTGATCTCAATGAAATTGTGTCACGATTACCTTGATAAGAATCTCCAAAGTGAACACGGATGTAAAGAAATAATCGAAATAGTTGAGAACCTGCAAGGAAAAGGAAAAAAAAGGACATTTTAAAAGCGTCAATAGGAATGAAGCTGCATATAACTAGACGAGCTTTTATTGGTGATTTCAGTTAAATAAATATTAGATTAAAGAAAAATAATATTATAGCGGAAGCCCATCCTAAAGAAAAGAACCCTGAGTAACAAAAGCTTATCCACTTCCCCAAAGTTCACCTGAAAGGAGTCTTTAGAGACATTGTTCATCAAATATATGATTTTGGTTTCACAAGGAAATGTTTATAGAACATATACCAGTGAGGCTAAGCCAGGCAAATCATTAAAATGAAGCAAGAAATGGTTGAAAATCTCAGCTGGTAAGAGGCAAACCACTCGGCAATGAGGGAGTCCGATCTTAGACTCACACCAAGGATCTTGGGGTTGCAAGTGCACTGCTCTAATCACATCCTCCTAAGTCATCTGCTTTTCTGCCACCGTACCTGATTTCTCTTTGCGCTAGCGTTGAGTGGATCCTCAGCCGCCAGCAGAATACTGCTCACAATAATGAGGCATAAAATAAAATTAACAAAGTATGTGTTGGTGGCGATCTTGTAACAAACGACGCGGAATCTGACAAGAAAAAGAAAGAACAATTCTCGTGTTAGTTAGTGATGATCGTCACAATGAAAGTAGCCGGAGTCGAATGTTAATTCAAAAGTCGGGGTTAAAAGTCGAAAGTCAAGGTCCCAAGCCCAAAGTCAATGTCAAAGTTGAGAGTCAATAGTCAAGGTCAAAGGTCAAAAGTCGTAAGTCAAAGGTCAGAAGTGAAAAGTCAAAGGTGGATGGTCAAAAGTCGAAGTTGAAAGTATCATCGCGTTTTACTAGTAAATAGTTCAAAACACTCGACTGACACAACTTCTTATTGGACTCTGATGACTTCCGCACAGGAAATCGAAACGTCAGCTATTGCCACTGACAACAGTTCTTTGAAGGAAAGCTTTTGTCCGGACGATCAGAGATCACGATTGACTATTTCTCCTGGGTTCAAACCATTTACGGTGTTAACGCTCGAACTGATATCGAAATCAAGTTGAAAACGCGTCGCACCATCACGCTCCGCATTTTGACTCAGCGCCAAGGGAGCGTTTCAAGCGTGCGTCCCTCCCTACAAGCATTTTGCTTTGCTTAGAGTCATGATAAGGTTCTTTGCGCCAGATAAAGGCATATTTACATTTCAAATAGGCACAATACTCACACTTTACTTAATTTAACCCTTTACACCCTAAGTTAAGTATGAATATTCTCCATAATATTCTCTACACATTTCTTGAGGTGCCGACAGGGAGAATTTGTTTGACAATCAAGAGCCTTTTCAGTTGGTGATCATTTCCTTTATTCTCGTGACCTTAATGTTCGATTCAGGGGTGATATTGCAAGGAGAAATTAGATGCTGGTCATTCTTAGGAATCAAAGGGTTGATACTTACATGTTGGTTGGGGAGAAAACGAATAAAGATGACTCTGGGGGCATTGGTGCCCTGTCGATATCCTCACTTGAAGTAGCACTACTACTCCCGTTGTTGTCTGAACCAAAAAGAAAAAAAAAAAAAGAGAAAATAATGACATTTAGAGCAATTTTCAAAGCAGAGTCCAAAGCAATTTGAGATTCCGTGGGTTTTGTTTTGATCCGCTTTGTAATCGGTCGATTACATTTACGCCTCTCTTTCAACCAATCAGATGCGACTCGCAACTTTGTCATCCGCGTTTTCCCGCGTTCAAGACAATTGACTTGTTTTAACTTTGAGTTCTAATTGGTTCCCTGCGTTATTTTCATTCGCTGTGATTGGCTCTTTCCTCTTACGACACTTGAACGAAATGCGCTCTAAAATAACAACTGACGCTCGAGAGAAACGAGAACAAAAACGATAAGAGAAGCAAGACTTACTATTGACGGCAGATTTTGATCCTCCAATCACGGAAATATCGGTAGATTGGGCTTCGACGTCGTCGTTTGATGCTGTCTGTGAGGAGAAGTCAAAAAGGGAGGTTCTCATGTGACCCCCTCAACTATAACTTTGGCCCAGTTAAAATACCTTAAGTCGCATTTAAACTCTTAGCAATGATGAAAGAAAACAATTAAAACTATGTCAGGTTTTGAACAAGTAGAATGATCGAAGAAAAACAAAAGATGGACGAAAGAAACAAACGTGGTGTTCGTACATATGACTGACCAAAAAAAAAGCCCGAACCCAAACTTTTTATCGTGGAACAATACTCTAATTTGGACTGTGACACTCAATGCGTTACCTTTATGATCAGACCTCTTCGTTAAAATTGTCCATACTAGAATTAAAACATTTTGAAAATGTTTTCTCTTTAGAGTAGTTGCAAAAGTTTTCATTTTTTACACAAATTTCCAGAGTTTAATTGATGGGCATAAATGCGACAAGTAGGCGCTATCTAACGAAGCCAGTTTAATGCTAATGATTCCTTTCTTTACAAACCATACGTGGAATGATCGTTTACTATCGTTAACCAACTAGTAGACCGATTCTATCGATCACTAAGGGGGAAAGAGAAAATTCTGTCACACGCAAGATTACGTGACCATGACTAAGTAATGCAGTTTACTCAAAGAGAAGGTCACGCAATATAACGTGAGTATAGTCACGCGATGCAATCTTAGGTCAAAGAAGTGAGCCACAATACCAAACAATTTTCCATCGAAAGTTAAACTTACTCTTGCAACACCATTTCCATTGAGAGTTCCCGTGGAATGAAGTTCTTGTGTTGACTTGTCAAGTGTTCTAGGAAAGAAGAAGAAAAGGATTTATTTCGATATGGTGAAACGTTGCACACTTCTCGTCTGCAGAAAATTATTTGGGTGTCAAACAGTTGTCACATGTTTATCAGGTCACAACACATGTTATGTCGCCTTGCAACACTTTCGACAGATACTGTGATCTCTGTTGATTCTCTACCCAGTCCCCGCATACAAGAAGTTGGCTCTTACACATTTGACCGTGACGCTGAACTGTGATTGGGTACGACAGCACCATCCGCGTCAAGCTTGCTTTGTGAATCCAAGGAACCCCTCATCTTTAAGGCTTCCTTTTCTCTCGCTTTCTCCTTCCTCTTTTTCTTCTCTTCTTCCATTTCTGTCAAGTTTTCAGCGTCGGCAAGATTGTCGACGGCAATGGCCAAGAAGACATTCAAAAGGATGTCTAATAAATGTCAAGGAATCTCGCAAGCCATAACAAAACAAAAACGATGTTTCTAATTTCGGCAAAGTAAAATTTGTAGAAATATTCGCGCGAAACCGCTCATGAAGTTATTATTTTCTGGTGAGCGGAGGCGTTAGGTCTAAGAAATGGCCTCAACAGTATTGAAGAACAATTTTGAACCTTAACAGTCAAAGACTTCACACAAAAACATATCATGATAAAAAGGCTACTAAATATGCGCTTGACTAATGGTAAATCAAGGCAAATGGAAACGGACAAAAAGATCTTCCAAGAATGATGGAATGCTTGAGGGAATTCCACGAGTCATTCCACGTGTTAACTCATAAATTCCTTGTGCTACCTTAGAAGAAACTTTTAGTCAAATGATACGTTGTAAATCATAAAAAGGGTAGCTTTGCCCTAAAAACAGATTTTCAATCAGCAACAACAACAACTTTGCTTCACCCCAGAGTAAGAATAGAAAATAGTGCAAAACTACTCAACCAGGAGAAACAAAAATTGATAGGAGTGCTGTCTTCAAGAAATAACTTGACCTCCTGAGCGAGTGGCCTGAGAGCGGACCCTCAATATAAGGGCCTAGGAGCGGATCCTTGTTGAAAGGGTCTGGGAGTATGTCATTGTTTTTCCGATTCCAGGCTCTTAGTGGTCGTCAATATTTTGACAACTTGATATTTACTAGTGCCATATCCCTTGCAGATCTTTCACTGACTCGCTTTACTCAAGGCGTTTCCAAAACTTCCTCGCGGGCGAGGAAACGCTCGAGCCGGAGCGCTAATAATGAGAGCCTGGTGATAAGTTATTGCACGAGACGGCGAGCAACGCACTCCTTTGTGCGAAGAAGTATCTCTCTCCTGACCTTCCCACTTATTACAAAAAAATAATTAAAGAGGACAAAGAACATAGAAATTTAGAAGGATACAGTTGCCAACGACAACGAGGAATATGAAGTACAAGATGGCAATCGCTGAACCTCCTTCGCCAATACCACCCCACGCACGGATGCCGTCATACATTACAGCGTTCCAGTCCTCGCCTGTGAGAATCTGTTTACATAATATTAAAAAACAAATAATAAAAGATTATATTTTACTTATTCTAACGTGTTGAGCTGCAGAAAAATAGCAACAATTCACCAATCTTACCTGGAAAACTGTTATAAGAGCTCTCCAAAAGGAATCGAAGTTACTGCGAGGAATTTCGTCATCGCCTAAATTGAATCTTCACAGGGAAAAAGAGAGAGAGAAAATTAATGTAGAAAAAGGCACAATTTTAAACCGAAGCGTTTACACTAAATATTCTGCAGCGGTTGGTAATAGCTCAAATGCGTTAGTACGAACGGATGAACAGACAGACAGAATGTACGAACAGAGAAATAAACAGAGAGAAGGTCAGATAAACTTAGAGGTGAGTACAACCGCACTCTGGAAGTACCGAAAAGAAACGAGAGAAACTAGAGTTGGAAACGTAATCATTTGAGCGAGAACCTGCACATAAAAAAAATCTTTACTTACTTTCCACCAAAGATCTGCATCCCAAGCAGTGAGCAAATGAGCATAAATAGTGAAAGCAGCAACAGAAGACCAGCTATAGACCTCATACTATTCAACAGTGACGCCACTAAGTTGCTAAGTGAGCTCCAGTATCTGAATCAGAAGGAAAAACAACGAGTCACGCACGTCATGCCTTACAATACAAGATGACTCGGCCAAGTCTCGAAGCCAGTCCTCTCGACCTGGAGTCAGCGCGCTAATCGTTAAGCCACCGCGTCTCCAACGATAGTCCATAATAACCACGTCTGACCGACAAGCTGATTTCCGGGACTACCCCCTTAACCTTTACACCCTAACATCAGTATGCAGATTCTCCATTCTCTTTTCTTTACATTTCTTTGGATACAGACAAGAAGAGTCGGTTTAACAATCTAAGTTTCATAGGTTGGCGATCATTTCCTTAATTCTCATGATCTTAATAAATGATTCTGCTGAATTACTGTTAGGAGAAATAACATCTTAATGCTGGTCACTTTTAGGCTCTAAAGGGTTAAGTGTACACCAGAAGAACAGCGCCAACGATAAGACGTGGTCAACTGGGGCCATCTTGTTATCGCACCATGCTGCACGTATTTACAGGAACTGAATTCTATTGCAAAATACTATGCATTCTTATCGTCAGAAAACAGGGTTGTCACGGATGATAAACTGCCACTAAAAATGTCCTGCACCCTATCTCCTACTATTGCGCATAATTCTGTCACTCTAAAGATCTCATTGGTAATTCTCCCCCAGTTAATAATCTCATTGAGTTATAGTGAAGAAATGTAAAATGGTTTCCGTGTTTACATAGCCTGATGTAAACACTTGGGAGGTTGGGAGAACACGAGATAAGCTGGAAACCACGACGCGAAGCATCAGGCTATGTAAACACGAAAACCATTTTACATTTCTCTTGTAAATCACTAATGAAAGAGGAACGAAAACCGTGTTTACATACGCTCATGTAAAATGGTTTTATGGCCAATCAAAGCGCGCGTACTATTTGAATTATTTTATAATTAACAACGTTTGCTACCATACAAAGATTCTACCCTCCATTTCATATGTGAACCTATTCTCCTCACTTATTTGCTGGAAAATGTATCGACATTGTGAGGAGAATTTGCATGTTCATCACTCTTGTGTGTGGAGTGTTGGGTTCCTTACCTGGTTACTTTGAAAATCCTAAGTAAACGAATACATCGAAGTACACTGATTCCAATAGGGGGCTGCTTCAACGCTTCTGTGATTGCCAACTCTAACAAACTACTAATTACAACCTTGGGGGAAAAAAAAGTTTGAACACACAACTAAAATAAATATACAAACTCTAAATTAATTAAAGAAATAGTTCCTATGTTTGTGTGCCTCTATTCAATAATAGATCACAGACGACGCAACAGACGACGTTTAGTAAAGAAACAAAAAACGCGCCGAGTACATTGTTGAGTTCTATAAGCACGCGGGAATTTTTAAGAACAAGAGAGAAGTGCGGAGAGCACGAGCCGAAGGCGAGTGCTTCTTGCACTTCTCGAGTGTTCTTAAAAATTCCCGCGTGCTTATAAAACTCAGCAATGCTCGAGGAACAAGTTTTTTTAATTTCTTTTATAAAATGTATCGTGAATTGCGCGCGCTCGTACCGATGACGTAGGCTGCGTGCATTATATCTCAACAGTGCACTCGTGTGACGTAAGGTGCGTGCTTTATGGAAACATAATGAACTCGTTCTGACCAATCACGGCGCGCGCATTTCCCTGAACATTTTATAAATGGCTTATAAACATTTATAAATTGTAATTCGATTTAAATTGATAACGTCTTTGCATGAAACGCGTAAAAAAACAGTCAGTGGTACAACACATTAAACTGATAATGGCATGAGTCATGCCGAAACATTTCCGTCTTTTATAAGTTTTTTTTACGAAAATTTGAAATTTATTTTAATTATCTGTTATTCCTAAAACTTACCAGGCAATCGAATCTGTTAAAAAGCGATGCGAAGTAGCCGTGAAATCCTAAACAGTACATCTTGACTATCATTTCAATGGTAAATATTCCTAAAAATAATTTATTTGCTATATCTGAAAGAAAGGAAAACAGATGGAAGTCAGTTTTTTATCTCGCCTCACGCGTTGTCTCGACCTCTTTCCCTTGATAACAACATTAAATGAAAGCTATCTGCGCATTGGCGGTATGTCACCTCAGGGGAGGGGTTGGTGGGGCTCAAAGAACATTGTTTCGAGCCACATAGCATAGCAAGGTAAGAAGCGAGGTCTGCTCTACTACCTTCAAGTGATTCTTTCTTCATAATCAAACTTATCAAGAGAATAGTCTCTTCATAAAAAAGCGAAAAACACAAATAACTCAAATATAAAAAACAAACAAACACAAATAAAAAAGCTTACCTAAAAATTGGGTTAAAAAGTCAGGTTGATCATAATGTTCCAATGCTAGCGTCAATGAATTTAAAAATACAACAACTATGACGATCCAGTAAAAAGCTTGTGTTTTTACTGCTTTACGCAGCTCCCGTCTAGCGCGGTGATGCCATTTTTTTAAAACTTTCCTGTCAAAACGAAACAACACAGAAGAAGTTGATAACAGAGAAAAATGAAGACGATGGGAGATAAGAGAGGAGAGGTTGCAAAGTAAGACGGGAAGGAAAGGACACATTACTCAATCGAAAGGCACTCCAATAGCCTGCCTTCGATAAGTTTGAACACAGGCCGGGGAAACTGGGTCTGGTGCATCCAGTCGAGGCTAACCGCTTAGTAAGGGCGTAGGGGAGGTGAAGGTTTATTATTGATACAGTCTCCTTACTTCTCGTTGTGACACCAACCATGGTGGTGCGCATCATGTTGGGAAATACTGTCTTGTCTCTCATTTCTATCGATCATTTCGATGTCTTCAGTTCTGGATTGTCTTGATGCTTTGGAAAAAAAATTATTAAAACCGTACTGAATACTTACAACCATACACACTTCTTTAACTCACTCTTTCTGGCCGAAATTTTCTTTGCCAATTCTGACCTTCAAATTTTGCTACGGTAATAAAGCTTCAAATCACAAGCGTCCAATTGCACCATTAAGTCTAAATTCATGAACCTTAAACAAGTAGTCGTACTTTACAGTCCTTTCACAATACGAAGTTTTCGTATCGCGTTCGCTTTCGCATCACGCATTACAGCACGCATAACAGCACGCAAGGCACCGCCACACACTTTCTCAGATTCACTACCTCACGTCGCATTCCATACTGTAAGAGACCGATGAACGACACGTCCTATCAAAAGATAATCTTAAGGTATTTATTATCACCGATTCACTCTACATTTTTCTGAAAGAAATGTGATACCGCGATCTAGATGTTGACGACTCTCACATTCATTGCAATACTTACAGGTCTTCTTGGAAGCTTTTGACTCATCACCACTTTCACTTTCACTGTCGCCTTCAATGTCCTCTGTTTAAAGAAACAATATAGAAATTCATTGGATTCGAGGCGTGTACATGTGTTTGCTGACTACAGTGTACTTCAGTCATCTTACCAAGTGACTTGCAGTCCAAAATCCGTATCGATTCCAATTTGTCTAAGGTTACATAACAGACAGCAAGAAAAAATTTTTCTTAAATAAACGTCATCAGACAAAAAAAGCTATTTGTTTTTGCCGCCAAAACTACACGCACTAATTCCCTTAGCGATTAAGGTGAATTATAATGCAATGGTCCTTAGAAAATCTTGCTTATAGTGGTTTGTTGATAACCGAGAAAGTGATAAAATCCTCTTTAGAGAGACGCAATGAAGTAAATTTCAAAATCTGTATCAGCTGACTTTCACATCCGTCCAAATTTCGTTTATTGAAAAATCTACTTTGATTTGCAACTGTCAGTCCTTTTCCCAAAGATTAAAAAGACCAGTGAAGCTTTTTTTTCAACGTGTCACGTACCAGCCTGAGTAATCCAGTCGAGGTAGCCATTGTAAGCATCTTCAACTTGTTGCTTTTCTCTAAACTTTTGGAATTCACCACTCTTCTGAGCTCTCGCCTTTTCCTTGGCAAATTCTCTGTATTCAGAAAACATTCAACGTCAAGCTACACATCCACTACAGAAGACATTTCACATTTCTCATTATCCCTCTGTCCTGCTCTCGTCTCAACATGAAAAACATCTTTATTCAAAGACGAGCATAAATTCGATACCAATCCTACACTACATACTAATTTTGTCACAAGCACATTAAAAGAGAAAGTACGTTTGATTATGCCTACCAGCCATTTGAAAGAACAAACAAGCAAACAGAAAAAAACAATGTTACTTACCCACTAAGTACACCAAGAACTAAGTTGAGAACGAAGAAAGATCCCCAAATGATCAGAGTAACAAAGTATACCCACGGCCAAGAGTTCCCTACTGCATCATTTATCTGCAAAACACACAATCATAATTATCAGGATCCGAAATAAACTTTTGAATTTTTGCTCTAACACCCAGTGGCGATTAATCAATTTTGCTCAATTCGCCATATGGAAGAAGTTGGTCGTCGCCGAGAAATTCAATACGTATAAATTTTCGCCAATCAACCAAATACGATGGCTTAAATTCTTACGACGTTCTTTTGCTTAAAATACACTCCTACTGGCAAACGGTCACCATTGAGTGTATAACAGCGCAGCGAAATAAAATGACGAAAGTTGCGTTCCCTGAACGCTGGCTCGCATGAACATCACTGTCAAGACTCTAAGTCAGTCGCGTGCTGTCGATTAGCATCAAAATGCTGATCTCCAACAGCCATTATTCAATCGCATGATCGACCAGCTGTTCGCAATTTCAGACCCTGATTCATTAATCGTATACATTCTCAATCACCTGAATTTGCCTGTGTTGTAGTTGATAATGATTCAAGGCTGAAGTGAATTCTACCAGGTTAGAATCAAACTTTCCTCTGAGCCCACTACATAATTTTTTTTATCTGAAAGTCATTTTAAACTACAACGTATTCCAAATAAAGAGGGGTTCAATTCTGTTCGGACACTGGTATGATACATGAACAAACCAATAACTCACCCAGTATAATACATCAGTCCAACCCTCAAGTGTAATACACTGGAACACAGTCATACAGGCCAAGCCAATATTATCAAAATTTGTAATTCCATGATTGGGTCCTTTCCAGCCTGCCTCACACACCTGACCTGCATCCTTATCGCACTGAAATCCTGAACTTCCAGAACTACAGGGGTGAGGTTCTTCAAATGATTCTTCACCTGGTGTCAGAAATGGAAAAGCAGATGATTCTAGGATTTACTTGCCTCTCGATTACTATCATGCATTTTTCATAAGCATGTGGTCTTCCATTTTGAAGGGGCCTGATGTTTAAGAGTGTCAAATGCTGGACGTAGAGATCTAGGTTAACTCCCTAAACAGGCCACTGTCTAGTGTTCTTTGGCAAAAAAAAAATATGCCAACATTCCCAGGAGTGTACAATATAGACGGTAACAGTGAAATCAATTGAAAACTTATTAAACTGTGGGAATAATTTGCATCAAAGCATTACATCCTGGCAAAAATGAGAAACATCTTGTCCTTCATCACCCCACTGAAACCAACTATGCTTTACTGTAATGCATTCTGGGTTACTATAACCAATAAAAATTTGATAAAAAGCACAACAAAATGTGCATGACCAAGTCGTGATTAACATAAGGTTTGCATCTGATTGGTTGAGAGAGTCAATGGCACAACTTTTCTAGACCAATCACATAGCAAAGTAAAGCAAAACCAAAGCAATCCTGGATTATTTTTGTCACACTCCACTGAAACCTGCTTTAAAATAAATGTATTTTAGAGAACAATTACCTGTCACATTATTATAGCATGTCTTGTGAAGCCGACCCATAAACAATTCCACACCAATAATTGCATAAATTATCACAACAAAAACTACCAGCAAGGCAATGTGGAAGAGTGGTATCAGTGCCTTGATAATAGAATTTAATACAACTTGTAAGCCTGCAACAAAAAAATATCAAAATCAAAAAACTGATTAAAAAATAATACCCAGAGGCCAAGAAGCAACTTAAATCTATTAAATAATATAAAAATTCTTACACAAGAATTACTTAACCTTTTAACTCCCCTGAGTGACCAACATAGAATTTCTCCTTACTATATCTATACAATATCATGCAGACAAGTGATGAGAAAAAAGAAAAATATCAATTATGAGATTACTAATTGATGTGATACCAAATTCTCCAAACTAACATAATGAGAATTGTTTGGCAGATAGTAAGGAGAATTACTAATAAGATCTTGGGAGTTAAAGGGTTAAGTAAAGCAGGTATTCTGCAATTAAGACAATTTAAGCCAATGCATAAAGGAAGCCTGAAAAAATCCAGCCTTCAAAAAGATTCAATCCAAAATCAGTATGAATATTCTCCATACAGCTCTTCATATATTTCCTAAAGGGCTGGCAAGGAGAATTTATTTACCAATCAAAAGCTTCTTTCATTGGTGATCATTTCCTTAATTCTCATGACCTTAGTGTGTGATTCAGGGGTGATGTTGTAAGGAGAATTTAGATGCTAATCACTCTTAGGGTTTAGAGGGTTAACCTAAGAAGCTACACATTGGGAGAAAGGCAAATTATTTAGAGGGTTCATCTTTCTGGTAGAGGAATCTTAACCTGAATTTGATCATCTGTTTGTTTTATAAGCTTAAAAAATACAATTTTGTTTTTTGGTCACTTCAGCTATGCATCTGTCCTCCAATAGATCATAGGCAAGAGCCAATTAAATGCACATTATATAATTTAGCTTATCATATTATTGTAATGAAGCATACTTAACTCTTTAACTCAGAAGATCTCATTAGTAATTCTCCTTACAGTTCTTGTAATGTAAGTTTGGAGAATTTGACATTGAATCATCTTATAATCCACTAATTGATATTTTTCTTTATTCTTATCACTTGTCTGCTTGATATTGTTTTGATATTGTAGAGAGAAATTTTGTCTTGGTCACTCATGGGAGTGAAAAGGTTAATACTTACTTGGAACACCAGACACCAGTCGAAGAGGTCGCAGGACTCTGAAGGCCCTCAAAGCTTTCACATCAAAACTTCCTGAACTCAGAAATGCTTTTACTAAAATAGTTGCTATTCTGAGGAGAGAAATTTCCAAAAAAATGTACTGTTAAGGTAAAAGTGAAACCTTCTTTAAACAACATGGATTTGTGCGCGTGAAGATGTGAATCTGACAAATCTGCATGGCAAAAAAAATTTTTCTTCAATGCTAAATACTCCATTTTCTATACCTTAGCATCATGCAAAAACAACCCTACTAATACTAAAGGAACATCAGTGGTAAAAACTACTTTACGTAACTAAGGTGTTCAGAAATCAATAACCAACCCTCCCCCCCCAAAAAAAAATCCTTGCTATGCCTCTTTCTTTTTATGCCACTTTCAAAATGTAAAAAATGTTATTATCAATTCGTGTCACTCGTCACTCTCTAGAAAGAAAGCATACACTCACAAAACAAAACCCTTTACACCTAATCATCAGTTTGCAAATTCTCCATATCATTCTGTATACATTTCCTATAGTATAATAATCAATTAATAATTAATAATTAATAATCAAGCCCTTCTTGACCTCACAACCATTTCCATAATTCTTGTGACCTTCATGTTGTGAGAAATTACATGCTTATCACTTTTAAGGGGATAAAAGATAATTGCATCATACTTACCCTACTACAACAATTACAAAATCTAAAATATTCCATCCATTACGAAGATATGCTCCAGGGTGGAAAAGAAATCCATAAGCTATTATCTTTAGCACAGCTTCCATTGTGAAAACTGCCAAAAACACATACTCTGCAACTTCCTGTAAACAAGTATTAGACATCTGGTTAGTCAAGCTTCCTTAACCTTTTAACTCCCATGAGTGACCAAGACAGAATTTCTCCTTACAACATCAATACAATATCAAGCAAATAAGTGATGAGAATAAAGAAAAATATTGATTAGGGGGTTATTAGTTGATCCAATACCAAATTCTCCAAACAAACATCACAAGAACTATATAGCAGACTGTAAGGAGAATTACTAATGAGATCTTGGGAGTTAAAGGGTTAACCTTTATACTCTGACCTTTGGCATGTTCAGTTTTATCTTATTAAGATCAGTTTATTGAATATTTCTGCCTAAAACCTTCTGTTTTTCGGTTTTGGTGTTTATTTTGGTCTGCAGATTTTCCATTTTTTTTAATTTGGTTTACAGTTTCCATTGACAATACTAATAGCTTTTTGGATTTGGTATCTGATGTGATTTTCATTTTTTTTCCTATTTGGGATCCTGTTCCTCTTCAATCTGAGCAGCAATTATGCACTTCCACTGATCTCAGTATGATCCACCACTGAATTGGATCAATTACAGTTTTGATAACTAGGATGAGGAAATTTATTGGTTTTGACAGTTTTGCGTGCAGTCTTCATTTTCGATTGAATTCTTTTGCAGTTTAAAGGTTTTGGATGATTTTTTCCACAGTTTTACTGTTTTTAATAGACCCCAATGCCCCCCTCCCAATATAGACCCCAATCCCCCCCTCCAAATATAGACCCCAATGCCCCCCTCCCAATATAGACCCAATCCCCCCTCCAAATATAGACCCCAATGCCCCCCTCCCTATATAAGCCTGCAAGTTCTCTATACTGTTTTCTATATGTTGCCCATGGTACTTACAGGGAGAATTTGCTTAATAATCAAGAGATTCTTGACCTTGCGATTATTTCCTTTATTTTCATGACCGTAACGTTTGATTTAAGGGGTGATACTGTTGGGACCTGGGTTGATGTGAGAAGAACATTTTAAAAATTCTTTGCAAATTTTGAACTGCGTTAATTTAAAAACAAATCAAGGTTCTTCCTCTTCTGACATAAATAGTAAAGTTTACACATTGTGAGTCCCAATCATTTTAGATTATATACCATTCTGTTCAAATTGAATGAATTTCACCACATTTAATTGGGCTCACAAAACAGAAATACATATCAAGAAAAAAGAAGCCCAAAATTCCACATTAGCCAGCACATGTCAAGAATATTCTCAAGTTAGAACAAAAGGCTACATAATTATTCTGAAATATTTTTTAACTAATTGGAGTGACAGTCTTGTGAAAATTATGTAGACAACTTCTCAACCAATCAAACTACTGGTATCAAACAAGAGACAGTCACCTCGACTAGGGGAGTATTTTTAAGCTCCTCACCAAAGTCATAGGAACATACACAACATGTAATTTATTTGTAAAAAAACTTAGTATAGAATTGATTCAAAATTAAAGCAAAGCTGTGGAAAAAAAAATTTTTATTTTGCAGCAGCCATCACATTGAAGCTTGGTAACACAATTAGCCTTTCAAGGAGACTGAAGAAGCTCTCTGGCAGAAAAATAAACTTTATCTAAAGCACACTACACGCTTCTGCTTTGAAGAGCTATATTTAGAGCTAATTACATATGCAGAGAGATACAAAAGATCTTAACTGGGTAGACCGCATAATCATCAGGACAACTTATATGGCAAAAGCAAGATCTGAAACAGTTTTCATTCACTGAAGAGAATCAATTTCCAACAGACTGCTTGCTGCAACATCGATTAACATTGTAAAATATGAAATCTCTGTGCATAAAAGATCAAAATACATCTCAATTCTATATAAATCTAAGCCAGCTATTTTATTTTTAATTACTTTGAAACATACAATGTATATCTTCACTGAGGTTTTTATTTTTAATTTGATTTTGACTGTGTCACCTGTAAATCTCAGTTCTGGATTTTCAATATTTCCTTGAAAAAATGTTTTTTGCCAATTACCGTTTTGGAGAAGGAAACCAAGATCAAAAAGTTATGAATAAGCATTTTATTTTTTGTGCTAAATCCGACATTTCATTATTTTCACCTCTTTTCTGGATTTATTTAAACCTGAGTGTTTACCTTTGGACAAAAGAACCGGAATATATCGGCGTCAAAATGCACAAACTACACATATGTAAAACTCTGAGAACATGAATAAATCTGACGGCTAACTGGCAAGAATCAACAACGATATTCACCATTCAACCATTAAATAACTCAGGGTTCTAAAAATGTCAACTGCCTCATTAAAAAGTTTTCACGTTGAGCAATCAGAACTTTTCCTTCGCTAATTCAATATATATACCGAGATAAATGGCGATTATATAACAGACGTTTGGTATTTTGTGCATGTCACAAGCAATAAGAATGTACTCTGAAATTAAACTCACTCAAATTCACTGATTTGTATCTTTTCATCGGTGCAATCAACCAGTTTTTGAAATAACAAATAAAAAGTTATTTTCGAAAGAAGTCGATTTTTAAGAACTAAAATTCTTCCGATCCGATCAAACGCTATAAAGAGATGCAAATAGAACAGACGCAAACCCGAAGCGATTTGATTTTCAATGAATAAACAAGTACTTATTCGCAAAGGTCAAGTCGATGTAACTGAAAGCTGGAAAACTGAAGCCTACTGGAGCATGGTGGGTTCTGTTTACATTTGAGTCATCCATTTTTCGCAATTTTACGACTGTGAAATTGACAACGGCGATTTCGGCGGATTACACGAACGAATTGCTTTGACTAGCATTAAACTTTAATTGGCGAGAAACACGATCAACTTCTACCTTTGTATCGAATGAATTAACCTTCATAAAAATTATAAAACCGCGATTCTATTTTTCAGGTTAGCTTACATACTGTACGTTCGTGATAGCAGAATCGCATCTGACAACGCGAGTTGTCTGGGTTTTTTTTCTTCCAAAACAGTAAATATTCACCTTAGCAAAAATGCACACACTATTTACGCTCGACGCCTGCAGTTGTATCTAATTTCTCTGTACCTAAACAAAGGTATCTGGTGCTCGAAATACAAACTTTACTAAAGACAATTACTGACACCTCGATCACCGATCATCTGTTCTAGAATGTTATCGCTGACCGAAGCCCATACATGTAAATACTGTCAATGGTATAAACACAAAATTCGGACCGCGTAAAGTCTCGTTTTGCCAAAGATTTAGGCTTTTAGCAGGTTGTTGAGCCAATAACAAATTCATTTGAAACTAAAACAAGGTAAAGCGTATACAGAGCAATAAATCGCATGAATATTTTTATTTTTCGCGTGGCACTTCGCTCGTTTACATTTGTGCAAAAATTATAATTTTTTTAACTGGTGCTTTGATCTCTAAGATCGCATGCTCTAAGCTCTTCCAAAAACAGATGATATTTTCAACGATGTATAAAAGCCGCAACCACATTTCACAGCATGAATATTCATCCATGTCAGAAAATTATAGAAAACCCGCACACCGCGTTTACAAGTAATCAAAAAGACTTACCAGGTTGTCGTTTATTTCACTGCTATCTTTCTCTGGAAGAGGCTCATACGCGGCGAGAGCGGCACAATTTGCGAAAATTGTGATCAGAATCATTACATCGAAAGGCTTAAGTCAAGAGTCAAGGAATACGTTTGAAGTTCGTTCCAATAACACCTTAAACTAGGCAACAGAAAATCTACAGGATAATAACTGCACGACCACGAGAAGCCAAACACCCCTACCGCAAAACCCAAATTCGCGCGAGAAATATTCTCTAAAAGGTTAACCACTGCTATTTAAAAGGATATTTCCATTCCACGAGATTTATGGCAGCACTTCGAATTGGATTGCCGAGGGAGAGACACAGAAGTGCTCTCTTCGGCCGAACAGCGTTTCCAGATTTTTTCTGTCGTTTGGCAGCTACAGATTTCGCATATTTCCCTCCGTGGCCGTTCAGCCGTGCTCTCGTCTGCATAAGGTCTGTCCCGTTCGGCCAGAATATCTTTGAACCTTGGGTAAAATTGGTTCTTGGATAGCCTGGAACAGTTCAATAAAAACACTCAGTTAGGAGTTAGTATGTTCCATATGCACCGCCGGTATAGTAAACTCGGAAAAAGCATCAAGTGCCGAACTCATATCGTGCTGCTGTTGGCTGTTTTCACTGCCCGGCCGACTCAAAACAACTCGCTAGAAATACTCACCGTTTTGTTCCATTATGGTTGCTTAAATTAGCCTGCTTCTTAAACATTTAGCTTGGACAAAGTAGTTTCACAATCATGTCAACAATTTCCAATACACATCATTAATTCCGTATTTATGTCCTACGAGTACACTTTATCCGCGTGAAACGCCAGAGTGAAGTGCATACGGGCACTTCATTACCAGAAAGTACAACTTTGCGTGACGCTGTCACGCTACGATTAACCCGAACAACAGTTTCCGTGACAACATATACAACCCTCTGTTACCTCTAGCCGTGCCCCTCGAGGGCTTCATCGAAAACTGCATCGTGAAAAAATGATTAGTTAAACATAATAGAATACGTTTTCCGACCTTTCTTTCGCCAAAATTTAACACATAGGACCGTTGGAGACCATGCCTCTTCACCAAAGTCGCATTAATACGATAATTTGATGACCACAAACCGATGTCACTGGGATAAAAAAAATTAATTCACTGGGAAATAAGTTATTACATCACCGTATCATATGACTTAAGCGTGGGTTGTCTGAGAACGCAATAAAAGAAGTAGACGAAATTAAAATATCTTAGCGGCTAACTTTTATTCCTCATTTCAAGAGCATTTATAGATTGTCCGCTAGAATTTTTCTATGAAATTCTAGGAGGTAAAAAAAGCGTTTACCGCTGTGGCGTTCAATATTCTTTTGAATCGTTATTTCAATCGTGAATGATAAAAATTCTAAAGGTTTCCAAGCAGCTGCAAATTAATTGTGGGAACGCATGCGCATAAGATTGAACCACCCACATGTAAAAAAAAAAACCTACACGGAAGTAACAAGGGACCGGAAGGCTTTTTCATATTCAGGCCTTGAAAATCTCGAAACGATAGGAGGAAGATAAGAATTATATATCTTTTAAAAACATCTCAAGATCCAGGGTGAATCAAATGGCACGTGCTGTACCTACACTGCAGTTCAGGTTAATTCCTGAATAAATTATGGCATGAAGTCTAAACAGACACGGTTTTTTTTTTATTATTTCTCATGCTTAGAGACAAAACGCGCCGCTGTTTTGAGTTCTGTCATATGCATACAGACTTACGCATGCAATACGCGTTTGCACCACTACATGCCACCAATCGTTTCAATTTTAATAATTTTTTTCCTCTCCTTGTGGGCGCACACAGGAGCATTTGTTGAAACGCTTTACTTTGGCAGACCCTAACGCCAACACTCGATAAAAGATTATATCTCACATTGAAACGATCGCCTTCCTGTAATTAGGGTAATTTCACCTCCTTGGGAAAAATACCTCCTACTCCTTTCCCGTCGAAACTTGCAATAAGATCTCCATTTATTAAAAGCCTGCACTCACTAGCATTGGCGTCAATCATCAGCTTAACGGCCATTACAAATAACCAAAGAAATAATGAATCAAATTCCCAATTAGCTAATCGGCTGAGATTCAGACCACTCGGAAGAAGGTGGGCCTAAGGGGCAGGCGAGAGCTCAACAGCTCTCCAAAACGACAAAAGTCACGAACATTCTCATCAGGGGGAATTCACAATACCTTTAAGAAATAATTTGTAGAAAAATTAATTTAAAGAGGCGGCAGAACTTCTTGGATCTCCCGCCAAGTTCATTCGCCGGGAATTTCGCAGATCACTCATGCAGTCCAGTGGATGTGAATAGTTTGCAGGTGCCGTCTACAATAAAGGAACAAAATGAGGGATGCCCGAGAATTTAAGAGGAAAAAGTGTCATTGCCAGTAAGAGAAAGGCGTGCAAAACTCGTGCCTGTAATTATGTGAACAACTGATTTACCCTTTTCTTAGATTACCCTTTTCATACTGAAACCATTACATGTTTGATTTCCTTATTATTATGCTTTCGAGTGGATTAGCTTACAACGCTAAGGAGACTTGGGTTGACGCTCTCTACTGCGGCCAGTTTACATTATCAACTCAGTGGATAAAACCAAATACATTTAATAATTGCCTACATCAGTGCCATGCCGTTCACAGAGCATTCTATAGAAGTGGTCAGCTTTCTGTTCGCGTTTGGAATTTCCACATTTCTAATTGGACAGAGAGAAAAGCGGATGGAGAGAAACACTTAAATTCTGTGCGATAACCTTTATTGAGCTGTCATGAATTCCAGGAAAAATAGAAGTGGAGAAATATATCGTCGCTTCTAATTAATAATGGAAATCAAGTAACCGCATAACTGAAACCACTAACTAGTCGCTGCACACTCATTAAATTTTTCATTTTTATCTTAACATGAAACCACTAACTAGTGCCGGCACTTCTTCGATGGGGTTATGGTAGGAACTCACCTGTAAAGCATCAATTTCCTGAGGAACTTGAAATGGGAAAGCTAAAGCGATTGAGACCAACGTACTTTATACAAAATAAAGGTTATGCGAGAATTAATAACCCAAACTAGCCAGTTCTGCCCGTTCTATTGCTCCCTCTCTGACGATCACGGCTGGCTAACGTCGTCTTTTAAGTTATTTTCGTATATACCGAAATCAAGATTGCGTGGAGTATGCAAGAGGACCAGAGGCTTCTATCGCAGTGCACTTGTCTACGAGGGGGTTCATATTGTATACCACCTTGACCTAGCTATTCTAAACAGCCATTGTTTCCAACAAAGGTGCAAAACGTTTTCCAAGCGCGTGGGACAAAGATGCGATTTCGCAGTCAGATCCTACACCGACAGAGAAACAAACACCTTGATTGGCGTCATTGTTTTGTATTGTAGTTTAGGACATTGTATCGATCATTTTTTGTGTCGTCTCCAGTGTAATAGTAAATGAAGACATAAATAACAATAGCAAAAAGTTTGGGATGAATTGGATCAGAAAAGCCGGGCGTGGTCGTGGGAAGGGGTTCCGGTGCCCTGGGGAGAGGCAACATGAGGAGCATGCGGTGCGAAGTGTGTATTAAATTATTTTTAAACCCTATGACTAAAAGGGAACCTTTCAATCCCTACTCTGTATGACAATTTTTTCTGTGGTTTTCTCTTTGTCTCTCCTTTCACCTGCTGTTATTACCTTAACAATCACTTTTCCTTTCCTTTCGGTTCTTTTAAAGTCAAGAATAATAGACATTGCTGAGGCATTTTAGTGTTGGATTTTTGTGACAAATATTTACAATTTTTTCTGCAATTGTACCGAGAGCCTATCAAAGATCGATTTTCGAATTTCACCGGGGTGTACGTGTAAAGAAGTTATTTTGGTGGGTCACAATCAAATCAGAACATGATTTGACATAACTTTAGTAAACATAAACTCTCTTTTAACTTAGAATATCTTTCTTTATGCGATAGCTGAGCTCAAAATTTATCATATCTTTTGTTGCATCTCCAAACGTTATTCATAATTCTATTATTAAGCTGGAAGGCTGTCAGATTTGAATTGAATCATGCAGATAGACTTTCTTCGAAACTTATTTGGTTTAGCAGACGATTTTAAAGTCAAACTTACTTGGGGTTCGAGTATTCACGCTGAACTTAATTGTTCTACCCTTGAGACAAAATTTCAAAATCTTTGTTTCAAAAGCTTGGTTTTAAGAATGCCACGGGCGAATAAATTTTGGTTGTTATTAGAATGAAGAGATTTACTCCAACTATACACGTCGTCTAACTCTAAACCCTAAGTGGCTCATCAAATTTGTTGGAATCATCGGCGAAATTTAGACCAGCATTTGCTTTCTTCAATAAATTGTTTTGAAAGTATCCCGCTGTGCAAAGGCCCTATCAATTATATTGATACTGAACGTTAAACCATTTAAAACAGTAATTTGGTCAAATGATGCTTGTTACCCGCGAATAGAGAATACGACGCATCTTGTGAGAGTGCTCTGCCGTCAACGGCTTGGCATGGGTTCTAATCTTAGGCTCGATTATATGAGAACCTGTAAGGGAAATGAGCCAACGCTTCCCCTGAACAGAAGGAGCGAAGACTGGACTTGAGGAAAAAACGGAAATTAAGTCTAGTTTTTTTTCCGGATGCAGTGTCAACTCAAGACCAATCACAGAGCGAAAAAAAGCAAAGCGTAAGCAATTCTGAATCAAATTCGCCAATTACTTGAAAATATCCGTATTACGTGTGTGTATGTAAAATTATCATTATTATTATTATTATTACTATCATTATTATTATTATTATTATTATTATTATTCTAGCTATTATTATTATTATGATCATGTTATTCGAGGAGGCTGTAGCTTCTTAACGGCTAGGCTTCGTACACTCGCTAAGATAATCGTTGACGTATTTTTTTCAGCGATAACCTTGTTAATTTAATAAAAGCATGCTTCATTTTTCGGTGGTAGACCGTTTCGATTACTTTCAATTCACAAAATATTTGATATGTCTAATGGGGTTAAGACTCAAGCGTTTTGCAATAAGATAAAAAAGAGAAGATATGCGATGGTTGAATTCATTGAGAGCTGCCACCATAAATATTGAAAGAGCTCGCTTAATTGGTATCTTTCCTGGCAGGTGTTGGGTCTAATTACTAATTAATGAATGTGTCTTTCCATAATTTTTATCTTCAAGACGAAGGAAAAATTTTTAAAGGGTCAAATCTTTTCCGATGGCAAACAACTGACTCAGAACATGCCTTCAAAATGAACTTCAAGGTCAGATTGTATAACAAATAAACAAGAATAACGATATGCAAAAAGAAAACAGAGCCTGTACGTCTCTAAGATGCTTGCCATTGAAGGAGATTTTAATTGCTTTATGGCTGTACGCGTGTGCGTTTAGAGTCATCAACTCAGGCTGTGCACTTTTATCGTCTTTCTAGATAACAGCGTTTACTTTGCAATTAGTTCCGTCGTGCGACTTATTTTGTTTTTGTCGTTGTTTTTTCCCTACAAAACTCCCGGACTTTGATTTACTTCGCTTTTTCGAAAGCTTGGAAAACTATCTGTGACGAAGAACAATAGAAGCTTATAGTCGCTTAATTTCAACTCTTCTTTTCTTTCTAACTTCTCTCTTTTTATCTGTCATGAAACGGGCTTATCAGACATGTAGAAGCCATAATTTTAGGATGGTCCCAACAAGTGATACTTTTACGCCTAACGGTTAAAATTTTGGAAATTTTACTGCTACGGTCAACCCAGAATAACAAATTGTAGAGAGGAAAAATTTCGCACGGTTGACCTTTTTAGGACTACATTTTTGGGCCGTTTTACGCTTAACTGTTAATCCTTTTGAGACTCGCATTTAAAACCCAGTTACGTCTTACCTGCCCGTCGTACCACCTCCATTTTTATCAGCTAAAGTCATTGGTTCAGTTCTTCGTCAATCTGCTATTAACATAACCGCAGTGGAGCTATTTTTTTTTTTACATAAGTTTGAGTTCTCCCTTTGAATTTTTATGACTTTTTGATGGCATTAGGAATGACAGCTTTTATTTTTTATTTTTTACCCGAGCGTGACTGAAATTTTAAGCAGGTATCATCAAAGCATCGAACAAGGAGTTTGTCAAAATCGATCCAGGACTCAAAAAAAGGCTCAACCCCGACGAATAGGACATTTTTCTGGAGAAATCAAGGTCGCGCTGCACATTGTAAACGTCTCGATTGAGTTTGAGCTAAGGCCTGTTGACAGGCTGTATGCAAACTTTTGAAATTTCGTTAGCGGAAAATAAGACAAATAAATGCTGGTATATAGTATACTTTGTATTCATCTTTCACAAACCCCGTTGAAAAACAGCCAAAAATCAATTGTATGTACAAAATCCGCTTTTAAATAGGTGGTGTAATTAATTTTCCACTTTTCCTACCATTATGCTATAGAGCAACCCTTTCTTAAAGCATTTTACGTGCATAAGACAATCATAAATTATTTTTATACACGAGTTTTGAAAGGTCGTCTTGGTCTCTGGAAATTAATTGACAGAATCGCACATGATAGATGATCAATTTGGTTGTCATAGTGATAATGTTGAAGCCATTTTCTTGCAAGCTCTTGCGAGCATGATCCATGGGAACATGGGCCTCGGGCGATACGAGCATGCGAGAAGTCTGTGAGGGGTCCACGAGAGGGTTCTGTGGAGGCCACACAGACCTCTGACGGCTCCAATCTGACCAAATAGTGACGTTTGAACCGAAACGCGGTTCACTTTGAAATGTGCTTATCAAAGCGTTTGTGGTTTAAATGGCTGTTCAAGTATTCAAAGCGATATTTGTTAAACAGGAAGAGGAGTGCCAAGAACTGACTGGAACATCACAGTATTGAATACTTTGGATTAATGAGTTCCTTGATGCGATATTGAATGTGGTTCAGTTGTTTTAGTCACTGCTAATAAGAAATTACCAACGCACTTACATTTTTATTTAAGCAAATAATGTTTTTTTTGTTTTGTTAGCACACCTAGGTTGTTTAATCGGGATCGACTGTTTCAGCTACAGCTGGTTTTAGTTGAATCTAATTATGACCCCGGACAGATCATAAGGAATGCAGGAATGTTTTTAGCCTGCGAGCGGACCCTTGTGATTGGCGCTCACGTGCGAGAATGTTTCTAGGGTCGTGTGGTTTTAGACCGCGACTGGTGCCAGCACAGCTTTCAAACCCCCTCGGCGACGTAATGTTTTTCTTCACCCAGTATTGAGGATTAGTGTTAATCTTGGGCTTACGCTACTTTTCCAGCTGGTGTTTGTGTGCAGGCGATGAACTGTGGGTGGCGAATGACTCTTTGATGAATCCTGGGTCTAATAGTCCAGAATAATTTATTTTTCTTTCAGATTAGAGATTTCGATCAAAGAGGGAGCCAAAGTATATCAGAGTTATCGTTGTCATTTATCAACGTAGTATGTGTATGATCGCTATCGTTTGAAAATATTGCGATGTAGACATTGATGAATCGCATAAACGTACTAGCAGAACGTAGAAGATAGAATAGTAACCCTAATTAACATTGCGCGTCATCAAAATTAAAGCACCTTGAAGTTTCATCCGAGTAAAACGCAAGCAATTAGAACGAATTGCTTGGCCAAATTTAACCAGCCTGAGTGTCGAATTCTGAAAAAAATGTTCCAGCAAGTGTCGCATTTTACCATTCGTTCCCTCTGAGATTCAACTCAAAGATCCTTTCATGAGAGTTTGACATTTATCGATCGCATATTCATAACTGATAAAGCGCACACCTTTCCGGCATACGATCTTGTTTCAGCTCCGTTATTCCTGATAGCAACTTCAGTCTATGAACAAAATTGCTCGAACAAAGTTGCTTGAATCAAATAAATCCTTAGCCAAACATTGTCACAAGCATTACGGTAATTAAGAAAACCAGACGTTTGCGTCATTAAGTGTACCGCATAAATCAGATGCAATAGAGCTCTTCAGCACGTAAACGCACCGAGTTGTTTTGTGCTTTATCATCTTCATAAAAACCATGGTCGGTTTATTTGCTTATTAAAGTTGAATAACATATAGTTGCAGGATATGTGTTACAGATATTTTTTCCAATACATTTGAGCTACAACGAGTAAACTGATGACATATTTGAATTTACCGACACAATGAATCATGACAAAAAATTCTGGAACACACCTGACCAGGCAGCCGAAAAAGCTAAGCAAATCCTAAATAACATATTTTCAAGAAGATGTGCTCTGCTAATAAATTTCGCTCTCGTCTTTATTTCTGTTTATCGTTGGTACGCTAAAAAATACCAGTGTCTGCCAATTACAACTGCAGTATTTTAATGTTATTTTGTGTCCAGTACCGGTTATTTTATAACTGTAAGTCAGTGTTATTATGTATGATTATTTGGATAAAAATATAGTTTTTAAGCTTATGAAAATTAGTACTTATAGTCGTGCTAAATGAACTTGGTCGTCATAGTTACCTTTTTTCTGAAGCTCAAAATGCGTGCGTTGTCTGACTGCGTCAAAGTAAATCTCGGTTGGGATGTCAAGCGATTCCACTGAAGCTCTCCCTGAGGCCGGCCGCATTCGTCAAAATAAAATCAGAAATAGAGTGGGTTAGACAACGAAATGTTTTCACCAAACATCAACGACAACGGTACAAGCTAGTCAAAACATCGTTAGTGGAAACATTTTTTTGTTTATGCTGTCTGTGAGTTATATCGTCGAGGCATCAACGAATCCCTTTCTTTTGATACATGAAAAATACAGGTTTGATTGAAACGCTGATCTCTCTCTATAGATCTATCAGTGAAAGAGGACGGGATGTCTGAGATCAGATACCAGATGACCTTGGAACACTCGGTACTCCCTGTTTCATTTTAAAAATGCTTAGTTGGTCACGGAATATCATTTACCGCTGGCGATAAAAACACATCGATCAAAATTTGGTTACTTTTAAAGAATAAAAAATTATTATAGAGGTCTTTAATTTTTCAAATCATCATAAGTTCTTACAATATTATTGCCCCAAATTTCAAACACGAAAAAGAAACAAATTTTCCGATATCATTCATTTGTGAAGAAGAAAGTGGTTTTGTGGGGTATTAGAGATTATATCACACATAAAATAATTCCCACGCATATGCAGAGGGTGTTTAATTTGGAAAGAGTAACCTTTATACACTCAAGACCCTCAGATTGTTTTTATTTAAGATGTGCCACCCGCTCTCAGCTTCCTTTTTTTATTTTTCATTCTTCCTTTTATCCATTTCGTTCATAATTGTGTATTTAAGTTTCAGTAGTTTTCACCAATGTTGTTAACAACTGTTTTCTTGATGAGTGAAAGTGAAAAAAGTGTCTCGAACTTCGACAAATACATAATTCCCACTCTACCTACAGTTTTTCCTTCCCACTCCGCCCACAGTTTATTTCGCCATAGAAGGTAGGATTAGGAAACACAAAAAGCCGGTTATTTAAACGAAATTTAGCTGTCTTTAATTAATTTGGCCGTTGTTCAACAAAACCACGGTCTTATTTAGCTGAGTCTTTTATTTAAACATTTATGTTTGTGAACAGTGTCGAGTGGGCCGGAAGCCAGCAGTGAAAGGATACTTAATTAAAAATAAAATGTTTAAGCCAACTGCTAGCGTAAAAACCGCAGTTTGAGTTAGACCTCGTGTGGATAACCAGCTCAAAGTGGCACGAAATTAAAAACTACGAGGACGCCTCGGCACTAGCTCATTTCCATTTACAGTTTGCGAGCTTGGGAAAATTTCCAAATTTTTGTATGAATTCCTTAAACCCGCCGCGGTCTTCTTAGTTTTGACTGTTTAGAGAAGAGTTTGGGATTTTGTTGTTTTTAATAGAAAAAACTGATGGAAAATTGTATTTTATTAAAAAATAATGTCAAAGGTTTGCCAAAATTAGTTCGTGCTTAGTACGACTCATCCCGGACTCTTCCAATCATACTATGGCATATTGCTAAAGTAAAATAGATAATTTTTTGTTGAAAACGTAAATTGGCCACCGTAAAGAGTTTAAAGGCTGACGTTTCGATCGTTAGCCTCGTCAGAGCGAATGGAAATAGTCTTCAAATTGAGAAACGGAGATAAATAAACCATAAGTCACAAGTACTAAACAATAACCTGTTGCGCACTGACGCGAATCATGTTCACTTGGTGACATTCTACACAACGTTTCACCCAGAAACTTCAAAATGGCGGCGGAGAGAGTAGCGAATTCGTTGAACCTTACAGCGATAAAGAAAAGCGATCAGTGTGCCATGAATATCTTGGATAATGCATCACAAGTGGCACTTTACAAGTTTAACGGTGATACACAAGCCTGGGTAAGGCAGAATTCATTATAACTTCCCTCTATGCGGTAGTGCATTCAAATGTCGATATCCTCTTTCACTTTTGACGTCGTTTCCTTCTCAGTGGTTCTTCGTTTTGTAAATATTTATGGTAGTGAATCTTTGATGAAATGTTTAGTTTGAAATGTTGATTTATTTTCACGTAGTAAATGGACTTTGTTTTAGATGACAAGAGTAATCCCGCAAATTATCGCCAACTGTCTAAATCTGCGTACGTTGATTTCAATGCATCGGCACAAGACGAGATTTACATGTTATATCGTGTGATAAATGCTTGATAATTAATTGATTGTGGAAAATGTCATGAAGCATTCATTGTAGAAGAATTTTTTTTATATATGCATGTAGCTAACTGCTTTTATTAGCGGCTGGTGTTATCTAATATCGACACAACATACATTAAGATGTTATTTAACTCCAAAATTTAACTATTTCCTCCATCCCTTCTCGTGCACGAGCTTCATAATAGTTATTGATATGTAGTGGTATGTGCTGTGGTCCGATTTTATCCTTGATTGAATTTATTCTCCTGTGTTCCAGAATCATTTTTGTACAATAACAAAGCCGAAATAAAAAAAAAAAGGGAACTGGAAATTAAACTGAGGATGAATTTGACCCAAATTTTGGAATGTTATCAGTTAATGCTTAAACTTTAAATTTCCTAAATAGGGAAGGTTACAATTAAGCAGTATTGCAGTTGTAGAGAATATATCCCTCAATATACGGATAGCCTTAATCTTCAAGTTTAGTTTGCATCATTGTCCAAACCTGTATTCTTCAGTTTCACTACTTTTTTGAAGTGGTGAAAAAATATTTCTCTAAATCTTTCTAAAAATTCAAATCCATCTTGCAATATTTATTTGGTATCTGTCATGTTATTTTCCCAAACCTTGGTGATCAAGTGAAGTTATTTTTGTTGGTAAGACAAGGAGTTTCAACATGGGGTTTGACAAGGTATTTTTTATCTTGTTGTGATGTTCAGAATTCAATCATGGTTTTCTTTATTTTAGGAGAAAACGGAAGTGGAAGGAGCCTTATTTGTGTATAATAGGTGAGCAAAATTGGTTTACATGAGTCAGCCATACTAAACCCTTTACACCCTAACATCAGTATGCATATTCTCCATACTGTTCTGTATACATTTCCTAAGGTGCTGACAAGGAGAATTTGTTTACTGATCAAAGGTTTCTTTTGTTGATGATCATTTCCTTTATTCTCATTACGTTAATGTGGGATTCAGGTGTGATATTCTAGGGAGAAATTAGCTGCCAGTCACTTTTTGGGTTTAAAGGGTTAAACTCCCATGAGTGAGTGACCAACACAGAATTTCTCCTTACAATTTCAATACAGTATCAAGCAGACAAGTGAGGAGAATAAAGAGAATTAACAATGAGGAGATAATCAGTTAATCCAATACCAAATTCTCCAAACTTATGTCTTAAGAATTGTATGGCAGATAGTAAGGAGAATTACTAAAAAATCAGATCTTACAACTGAAGGAGTTACAAGGTTAAATGCTTTTCAGGTACTGACCTTATTTTTATTTAATTCCTGCAGGTCTGCTACACCAACAAGTGCCTTTTTTATTATGAATAGATTGAGTATGAAAAATATGATGGAGCCAATAACAAACACAATGGAGTTTAAACTTCAAGATCCATTTCTCCTGTACAGGAATAGTGCAAGTGAGTATGCTATGTGCACTGTGACATTCTGAAAAAAGGAGAGGTGAAGTATGCTCCAGAAATCTTATAATAAAACAGATGAGTTTATTTCTGCAGGCATAAATATGTTTTGGGCCTGACTCAGAGTCATCATAGTCCCCAAGCCATTTGGCAAGAATTAAAATGAGGTCTGAGTGTGGCTTAAAACATGTTTAGTACATTTTAGCTGGCAAAATTAATACTAATTTTAGTAATAATTGTCTTTATCTTTTAGAAGAGATATTTGGTATTTGGTTCTATGATGTTGAGGAATGCAAAAGACTAGCCAGCCTATTGACTATGTGAGTTGCATGTTATTTTAACCCTTTACCTTCTAACATCAGTATGCATATTCTCCATACTGTTCTCTATACATTTCTTAAGGGTCTGAAAAGGAGAATTTGTTTAACAATCAAGAGTTCTTTAGTTGTTGATCATTTCCCTTATTCTCATGTCGTTAATGTTTGATTTAGGGCTGATATTGTAAGGAGAAATTAGATTACAGTCACTCTAAGGGTTTAAGGGCTAAAAGAAATGTATATTTTATACTTCTTAGCACTAATACTTCCTCTTCACCAACTTAAAATTTTTTGTGTGCTGAGTCTCACATGTGGGACTCAGAATTTTCCTTGTTCCCATGCTTGTGATAAAACAAAGAAACATCTTTTGTCAAAATTACAGCTGTAGGTGAATGCCATGTATTAAACAATAAATTTTCCACCATGAATCAGATAGGGTGCCAGAATTTTTGTATTGTAGCTAAGCAGGACTGTAGCTATACAGAAAAAAAACTGAGCATGTATTTGCAAGCTAAGATTTAATTATATTTTTTTGTTATTCTAGGATCAGTTCCCAGAAAAATGCATCAGGAAGTGCCACAGTCATTTCACCCAAACCATCATATGCTCAAGAGAAGCCAAAGGTACAGGTACGTTGTTAACCTCAAAACTCCCATCTTCCACATCATTTGTATCTACAGGGCTGTCACTAAGTTTTGAAGCAGCTGTTACATTGTAGATATCAGCTGTAGCAGTGAAATATTTTCCTAAGGGAAAATTATGTGATAGCAACGGGGGTTTCAATAACATTTTCCACAAGTGGTTGCTGCTGGTGTAATTGGTAGGTGTGCCCGGAAAGGGACCATAAGGCAAAACCTAAATATCAGAACCAGGTACTTGTAGGCTAAACAGCAGTAAGAGGTCTTAGAGGCTGCAGTATGCTGCTAGTAACAGGCTTTTTTTGATACCCCTGTAGTTATCAAAATTTTCACCTATTACGTGAAGTGAGCTCAGCCATAACATGTGTAATTGGTTACAGTCCTAAATTGATGGCCTATGTTTTATATTCTTTATTACATATACAGTACAGGGGTGAAGCTAGGATTTTTCAAAGGGGGGGAAGGGGGTCACACTGTGTTAAACAGAAGATACTCACCAGATTGTCATGTCAACATCCCTGGCATGTTTTACTTAAAAGAAGGCTTACAAAGAGGGTCATGGGCACATAGGATCCCCCCCCATCCCTCCCATCTATGGCCTTTTAGTAAAGGTCTCCTAGACCATCCTTATTAGTGGTTCCCCCTCTTCCAATGACAGACCTATTGCTGAGAATTAAATACTTCTTTTTTTTTTTTTTTTTTTTTCAAGGAGAATCCAAGCAATACCACAGAGGAAAAAGTTGATATCATGCAGTTATTTGCCAAGGCCCAGGAGAAATACAATAATCAGGTATATTTAAAAGCTATGCTTCAAATGGTCATATTTAACCCCTCGACTCCCAGAAGTGATTACCATGTAACGTCTCCCAATAATATCCATTACATTTTAGTCCAAGGCAAGTGGTGCAAGTGCAGCAGCTACTCAGGTAGTAAACGCAACCCCAAGACCACAGATACCTTCTGAGCAAAGAGAACATCAACAGCGATTCCTCCAACAAAACCAACAACCACTGGAACAGTTTCAAAAAATATTGCAAACTCAGGACACACAGCCAAAGAAGCAAAGAGCACACTCTACCCCTGTCCCCTACCTGTTAGGAAATTTGTCACTGTCCCCTGTGGGGAAAGGACCATCCAAAGGGGAGGGGCAACAGAATGGTGTATCACCAGCAAGGGAGGGACAGACAAGTAAGAATATGAAAGTGAAGAGTATCCCTCTGTCAGATGTGAAGGCTCCAGTAATTTCAGGTGAGGTGCAAGGTGCCATATCATGATGCAGAACTACATATTTTCACCGATTTTCACATCGTTTTTAAGGAATTTACCATGTGCAAAACCAATTCAGTAGGCCCAGTAATATCTTTGAGGGATCTTTTGAGTAGACTATCAGGGAAGTAGACAGTGGAAAATTGTATTCAAAGAAACTGCTAGATTAAGTGAGCTTTTATTGTAAATTATTTCCATAAAAGTAAACTAAAATCAGCAGATAAATTAATATATCTTGTGGGAAATGTTAAAGTACATTTAATTGCAAAACATCACAAGGTTCCATCAAACTTCGAAAGGGGGTAATCAAAGGTTGAGGAGAGCGTTTTTATTGATATGATTTCCCGCAATAAAAAAAAAGGAATTTTTCGCTAGTATTGCTAACGGCAATGTTTTAATTCCAAAAGAAGAGAAGCTAGAGTTGGCACAAGTGTTTTTTTTTAATTGTATCAGGATCCATGAATAGAAGTCAGGATGACTCTGCAGTTACTGAACAAGGAAAAGCAGGAGCACAAAGAAAGGTACAGCAACAATTTTTGTCAGTTTATAAAATAAGGAATTTTTCATAAGATTTGATCCTCGGGTTTAAAATTAGGAAATTTAAATTAAAGTGTAAAATAAACGGAACATATTCAGTGCATCTAAATGAAAAAATGTAGCTCTAGCCATTGAAATTTAGATGGAGAATTCTGCAAAGTAGCCAGAGATTCGCCCATTTCCGAGTTCTCACAGTTCAGAGATCTGGTGACGAAATTTAGGCACGAGAATGAGGTTAAGTACGAAGATCTCTGGACTTTGAACACTTGGAAATAGGCTTTTCTTCGATTCCTGATGCTTGATGCACACTCTAAAGTCGTGAATGATATCAAATGAATTTTTAAAATGCTGAGGAAATTAATGTTATGTGTTTTCTCTTTCACGGTAGTTATTTCAGAACGAGAAGGTGGAAGCAAAAAGCCTGGCCATGGCACCTGCAATACCCACAGTTCCTCCACAGACAATAATGGCGTCTCACGCAAAGGTGTGCCAGTAATCCTCTGTTTGTTTGTTCGGTTTTTTCCTTTAATCTTATCCAGGCACGCTGGACCCATCTTGCTCACTCGTGTAGCCTATCGATATAGAGGATTTGCTACATCTTACCCACTGTCAGAGCAAGTTATAGTATAAAACAGTATACTCTTCCTTGTCTGTGCTAGGACTCTCCTCAGAAGCCACAGCTGGACCAAGGGGGTGCTACAGCAGCATCACTTATGTCTCCATTAGCGTTCAAAACCTCAGGGAAAGTGACTGTTCAAACACCAACACCACCTCAGCCCAAACAGCCTCCAAAAATGGACATCGCTCCCCTAACACAAGAGCAGCTAGTTCAAGCGCTGACATATTTATTAAAGGTATGTTTTATCATTTTTCTAACACTTTTTACACGCACAACGCTCTCGACATTGCTAATCCCAGCAGTATGCAGGATATAACCAACGCAACAGCAGGAATTTTAGGACGTAAAGGAGTTCAATTCTGGACGACTCGAACTCTTAACTATACATGTCATTGCCAGTGATTTCTACGATAAATGTTTCAAGCATATCACATTAAGAACCGAACAACTAATTACAACATTTGAAATAACATAGGAATAGGACGGTCAAACTATTTGAGGAAAGCCGCGTGGACTGGAACTAGGCGGGAGATTGGTTTCCATACAGGACGCGTGTCACATTTTAAACCTTCTAATAGCCTAACTCACCTAAGAATTCCCTTTGGATTAGAGTGTCGGAGCGGGGATCCAAAGGTGTGGAGCTCCATTTCAAATGGCGGACCCAAAGCTCTGCTCTCTCTCTTGTTCGCGACAAGAGCGTCGTAAAACAAAAACCTAAGTAATCACAACGGCCGATCAGAAGAGAGGAAGGTACCATTTAGAGCCAATAAGAATTTTAAATAAAACCAACCAAACTGCCTAAAGCGCGGGAAAAGGCAAGCGACCGATTCATGATTGGTTTTAGTTTAGCTTCTGATTGGTTGAGAGAGTGGTGCGAGTTTTCTGGACCAATCACAGAGCGAAGTAAAGCAAAACAAAGAAATCCCGGATAACTTTTGACGCTCAGTTGGAAATTGCTTCAATATCGTTCATCACTATGATGAAAAGCCCAAAACCTTTATTTGCGGCAGTTACACTTATGGCACAACCACTTGGATGGCTCATTAATTTCTTTTGCGACTGTTTTATTTCTTAGAATGACTCGCAGTTCGTAGCCAAAATACACGAGGCATACTTCAAAAGTCTTCAGGAGAAATTACCAACGTAGCCATAACTGTCTCCACGATTGGTATTCCTTTGTCAATCAGCAGGCAAAAACCTGGATTCCTTTTTGCAGTGGGACACCAAAGGTAGAAGATATCGACCTGAAGGGTTATGTGAAGAAGGATATATGATGGCAAGGTTTAACACGTTTTAAATCCAATTGAAAATAATTCAATAGTAAAAAATTGTGAGGATGATTGGGAAGCTATGAGTATCTCGTGATATCCAAAAGTAAGTTTTTCTAGCATGTACAAATTTTTCCTTTAATTTTAGTTAATGTTTGTTGTACTTTTATGTGATAGAGAAATAATTATTGACCATGAAACTCAAGCAAAAAGGAATAATTATGGAGACGAATGAAGGGACTAAAGATGACAAACTTGGAATAAATGTTTAACCCTTTTCGTACTAACATCAGTATGCATATTCTCCGTACTGTTTTTGATACATTTTAAAAGTTTCTGTCCGGGAGAATTTGTTTTAACAATCAAGAGCTTCTTTAGTCAGTGATCATTTACTTTATTCTTGTGACATTAATGTGTGATTCAGGGCTGATATTGTAAGGAGAAACTAGATGCCAGTCACTCTTAAGTGTCAAAGGGTGAAATATGCAGTACACAGAAAGACGCATAGCCCCCATTTAACAAATTGCTTCGTAGTTTTACTGTTAGATTGTTTTTGTTTTATGCCTGTTTTTGGGGAGCTCCAAGTCTATTTACTAGATATGTTTTTGTCGAGTGTTGGGTATTATTGTATTTATTGTAACGCTAATGTGTCTCAGAGCGCATTTCGATTGTGTGTCGAAAAACAGAACCAAAGTAATCACCTCGGCCAATCACAGTTAAGTGAGGTATCACAATAAGTCAATGGGGACTCGAGGGAAAAACAAGCCTACCGCTTGAAGCGCGGGAAAACGCGTTAACCAAGACACAAGTGGGTTTAGTTTTGAATCTGATTGGTTGATGAAGTGGTGCGTTTTTTGTGGACAAATCATAGAGCAAGAAAAGCAAAACCAAAGCAACCCAGAATTACTTTCGACACTCAATTTTTTGCGTACTTGGTTGCCAAGCCTTTTTAACATGAGGCTAAGGGTGACCTTGTTCTGACGCAAACCTTGCTGCTTTTCAAATGCAAATTACTTTATTATCATGCTAACTAGATACTGGTCTCTATCACAACATGGTCAACTTCAGCCTCACTCCAAATCAAAGGCTTCGCAACTAAGTACACAACTGTAAAATAGCCTATTAGCTTTATTGCTTTTGTTGAGTATGTTATGCCGTAGCAGGAATTGCCCATTGCTGTGGTTGTTTCAAAGAATAGTGAAGCTGAATTTATTTTAGGAACGTAGTTGCGGAATTTCTCGCGCGACATTGCTACATTTAAAGTCGAAGAGCATTTGCCAATGCGTGTTCGACTGGTTGAGCGAAATTGATCATTTCTTCAGGTTTAACAGATTTGTTGCAAAAGTTGCGCTTGGATCTACATCATGCAAAAAAACTGCTGAAATAGCGACTCTGACAGCTTTTGCGTAACAAGTTAAATGCGCTCCTGGCAATGCAGCTAACGACTTGCGGTGTCACATGTTGCGTGACAATTTGAACGAGTCAGTGTTTCCCTAGTGTTTCTAGGCTTTAACAGTGTCAGGAGTCGATGAAGGTAGAGACTGGATCCTGCATACGAGAGTCATTCTAACGGTAATCCTTGTAAAGTTATTTCTAGATTCAAGGTATCTTCTATCCCGAATGCAGTGTGACATGCGGCTTGTGATGAATATTTTGGTGAAAAGCGATTAGGGATGGATTTCCCACGTGAGCATAATTGATATTGGATAATTTTCTATTTTTTAATTTCTGGGATCTTAGAGAACACAGCGTGCTAAATAAAAGGCCACTTCGAAAAGTACTATCGTACTTCACGCGCACGCGCAGCGCAATCCTGTAAGTCTCCGTCTGTCACTGTGGCACAATAGTTGTTACACAAACAGTGTATGTTAGCATTCCCTTTTAACAAAGAGTATGATAGCATTTTTCAAAATGGTGCTTAACTTGATTACGTTTGAATAAGAAATCAGCCTGTGTGGAGGACTCAGTCAGCTTGATATTCTTTTTAGTAGATATCCAAGGTACGTTTAGAATTTACACATAGTTGAATTAGACACATGGTTAGATTGAATCCGAATTTATACATCTTGTTAATTTTTTAAAAGTTGCTCTCGAGTTTTCATAGAGATATCTTTTTTTTTTATGAAAACTGGACTGAACTTTGTATCGAGAAGCTACTTAGGATATATTTTTTGGTTTACGCGAACTTTTAACAACAATATCTAATTTGTGTGTTTTTGTTTTCAGTTCACAATAAGTTTCAATGTATGTTAAACGTTTGCGTAAGTCTCAAGAGTGAAAACGTTTCTATCCTGCGGTTCTTAGCCAATTTAAGGCTAGTTTTAACAAAAATGGTTAATCTAACATCGAAAACATTTCAATTTAATCTTTTGTACTCAGACGAGTGTGTAGAATACATTGGTATTCTTTTTTTAAAGACGCAAGCAACTTTTAGAGCGTTTGTATCTTATTCCTTTGGCCTTGTATGATTTGAAGAGGAACCTATTTTGTTTTGATTTGTTTTTCTTTCAAAGGCTAAGAAATTTGCTTTTTGAGACAATCAGTTACTTTACTCTTTTGAAAGTGTTATTTACCACCAAAAATAACCAAAACCTATTTTACGATATAGAGATAGAGTAGAGAAAGATGCTTTGTCGCCTTGTCACGAGCGTCGGACAAAGAAAAAATTCTATGTCCCCATAAGGAATCGAACCTCAGGCCTTCGGATTCCGCGCTCCGAACAATCAACTTCGTAATTGGCCTCTCTCACCATAGAGTCTCTGTGGCTCAGTGGTAGAGCATCGGAGCGCGGAATCCGAAGGTCTGAGATTCAGTTCCCTATGGGGAGTTAGAATTTTTTCTTTGTCCAACACTCGTGACTAGACGAAAAAACATTTCTCCACTTCGTTACCCAGCTCAAAACTTACTATCTCTCTTACTTTATTTACAAAGATAGAGAAGTTTTGAATGAAGAGTTGTGTTGTAACGAGTGGCTAAAACTTCAAATCGAGAGCGATTGAGGCTCAAGAATATGAAGGAAAAAAAAATGAAGAAAAGAAAAAATAATTGATAAGCGCTGGAAAACGGTAGCCACAGTCTGACAGTCTAGCGCGGGAAATGTAGACGGATTCCACGTGCTTTAAGCTTGATTTTCTGGATGCAGTAAATAGTTTGATCCAATTGGTTACATCAGAGTATCACGCCACACCCGGATGTGGCGCAAACCATTCATTGGACACTGCTCTTTTCACCGTGATTGAACGAAAACGATTGTGTGACATTGTTTCGACTTAGCTCTCGGCGAAAGAGTGTCACGCATATTGTTTAAAGAAGTTTGACTTTAGTTTTATAGGCAAAAATAAATTATAGTGACAAGCTATCGAACGGGAGTTCGTCGGAATCCGACGATTATCTGAAAAGGTTTATCTTGGTGTCATGATGTTTCCTGATTGTAGAGGAAACAAATTGTTTTGTAGAGGAAACAAGTTGGAAACTGTATGGGAATTGTAGCAGCTGTTTCTGTCCCGTGAATACGCTGTAATTTAAGATGTCAACTTAAATTTGAACTTGGATGAGTCATGATTTATTAACTTGGACGTGTCTTAATTTTTAAGCTATGCTCGGATGTGTCCTAACTATCAAAAATAAAGGAAGTGACATGAACATGAAAGTGGCGTCAAACTTTTAATCGTTGTGTTTCCCTTGATTGCATAGCCACAAACTCTTTAACAGTAATACTTTCTTCTTTCTTTGCCCCTCTTGTACTTGGCAATCTTGGTGATGAGGGTTTAAGACTGCATTGGGAGGGGAACGAAAGTTTCCATCAAACCTTGACAAGGGCTGAGTGTTCGTTTTCCTTTACGACGAGAGAATCTCCCTTGAAACTCTCCAAAACGTTCTGCAAATCTCTCAAGCAAACGTTAAAATCACTTTGCAATCTCTTTGGAGGCTCTTCAAAGCCTTTGCAAATCCTTTTACATTTTCGGACAATTCCTTAGGAACTCTTTGGGAACTCTTACAGACCCTAAATCAACTGGATAAAAGGAGTAAGTTTCTCAAGAAATTGGTGCTGCTTCAGTGGGAGAGTATAACAGTGTAATTAAGTACCACCAACTGAATTGATAACTTAAATTGGCCACCGTGAAGAGTTTAAAAGCTGATGTTTCGAACGTTAGTAGCAAAGGGCTCTGACGAAGGGCTAACGCTCGAAACGTCAGCTTTGAAACTCTTTACGGTGGCCGATTACCGTTATCAACTCAGTTGGTAATACTAAATTACCCCATAAAAATCCCCTTGATATCTCTCTGGAGACACTGAAAACCCTAGGGGAATTTTTAAACCTGATTTCCTAGAGGTGAGATTCCTCTAAACAGTGCTGGAGAATGGTAATTACAAATGACGTCTTCTGTATCATGGTCATGGATGAAGTAGTGTCAGGATTACTGGGGCAAAGCTTATTCCTACCTGGAAGGGCCCTTATCCCCTAACCAAACTCGCACAGAGTTGGCCATCAATATGACCTTCTTGCGAACTCTCTCCCTTTGGGATTCCACCATTAGCCCTTTAATTTTACTAGTGACCAAGACAGAATTTCTCCTTACAACATCAATAAAATATCAAGCAGACAAGTTATGAGAATAAAGAAAGAGTCCAATGAAGGGATTATAGCTTGATATGATACCAAATTCTCCACACTGGCATAATAGGAACTGTATAAAAAACTGTGAGGAGAATTACTAATAAGAAATTAGGAGCGAAAGGGTTAATTAACTGAGGTGCATCCCTTTTCCACGTGACATGGATTAGATGTATATTTTGACATCAATAACTGTTCAGAAAACACTTCAAATTTTACTAAGTCAATATATCAAACTTTAATTGGATTCTTGGAAACTTTCAACCATTGAAGGTAAATGTACATTAAATGTGAATTTGTTTTGCTCTCTCAGGGTTGATAAAAGTTGAAATACCTTTTCCTTTTGAAGTGTGTTTCACAACCAAACATTGTATTATGGTGAATTTTACTCAAGAAAAAGCAGTATAAGAGACAATTCATTTTAAACCAAAAGTGCCTTTGTAACAACCAGCTGCCTTAGAGATGTGTACATAGATTTGACCTTAGAATATGAAGCGTACCATTTTATATGCAGAGTAGGGGAGTAAGGAGAGAATAAAATATTGTTTCCACAATACTTTGTTGGGTAGCAACCCCCACCCTACTTCAGTGCAATGCAAATCACAGACAGAATTGATGTCTGCACAGTCACAAAACTGAACTTCCTGCTCATATTGTAAGAACATAGGAGAGTACAGTGTAATTCACTTTCCAAGCTAAATTGAATAACTTTCTACTCGCTAAGGTCATCAGAGTTCCGTGTGTTCACTTTTGAGTTGTTCGATCCTCTTGATAAAGTCTGATTTCTCTAAACATCCCACACATTCTTCATCCCAGTCACTGAGAATCTTCTTGAGCTGCTTCACTCGGAGCTTCTTCAGGTCAACATTGTTAAGGTCAATCTGCTTGTCTGCAATAGGGATCAGGTCAAAATTTACATCAGCATGCAAACAATTTAACTGTAATAATATCCCTATTAACTTGAGAAAAAGAAGCCACTGACATGTGCAAAACCTCAACTAATATTATAGAAGCAAATACTTCACTTCCTTAGAGTAAATTTATCATTTCTCTCCCAAATAAAACCTTTTTCACACTGGTCATTGTCAAACAATGCTCTTTACATTTTCCCAAGGGCAGTATCTCAATGAGATTATAAGTACATGAAATTGAAAGAAAATGAAAAAATAAATGAACTTCTTCACACTTAAACTTACCATACTGCAAAGCACAAATTTGGCTGTCCTGTTTTTTAAGGTCCTCACAGATCTTCTCTGCAGGTTTGTGGTAGCTCAGAGGCTTGAGGACTGCATTAAGAATACTGGTAGCAGCATCTTCAGTGCCTCCAATGTAGTAACACTGGGTGATCAAAACAAAAG